CTCTAAAAAGAATCACACTGCTATACAACAAGAATATCTCAGAAACCACCAACACATTCTTACAACCACATGGAATCAGCGCAGTACACAAGCCAGCTAAAGCCCTTCAAAACATCCTAAGTCCACCAAAAGACCCAGCAACCCCAGAAGAAGAAAAAACAGGAGGCATCTACAACATGCAGTGTAAGGACTTCAACATCCACTATGTAGGACAAACAGGCAGAGGACTGGCAGAAGGCATCCAGGAACATCAACTGGCAGTCAGAAGGGATGATGGAAATTCTTTCATTTCACAACACATGGACAGACTTAACCATAGTTCCAACTGGGAAAATGTGATCGTCCTAGACCAGGCTAAATCCAAAAAGGCCAGGGAGTTTCTAGAAGCCTGGCACTCTGAATAATCAGCCATCAATAGACACAGAGACATCATCAACATCTCTAGACTATGCAAAAGAGACAATCAACCAGCCCAAAAGGGAACCAAAAGATTTCAGCACCTCTCCACCACCTGCCATCGGCACCCAGATCACCATCGATTAACTCCAAGGTTAACATCGGACCAACAATCAAGTAAACAACACCCCAATCAAGAAACTGTCAAAAAGCCAACAGCAAACAACCCAACCAAGCAACTTCTAATACCACCCCCAGTGACACAGACAGGGCGAGCCACCAGGACATACACTGAGAGCAGATGGCACTCCTTACTAGCACTGATGAGGCTACTTAGATTGGGTAATGAAAGGTCTGCAAGAAAACCAGCCAGCTCAGAGAGCACCCAGGACCCTTCATTTGTCTGAAATGCTATAGGGCAGGGGTCCCCAATCCCCGGTCCATGGACCAGTAGCAGGCCACGGCATGCCAGCAACCGGTTCACACAAACAAACAAGACCCCCATCTGCGGGATGCAGGAAGCACAAAAAACCACGCACCAATGGAACAGTTTTTGCCTCCAGAAATCTTGGGCACTCCATCACTGGAGGTTTTGAAGAAGAGACCGGACAGTTACTTGTCTGAGATGCTATAGGTTCTCCTGCTTGAGCAGGGGGTTGGACTAGAAGACCTCCAAGGTCCCTTCCAGCTCTATTCTATTCTATTCTATTCTATTCTATTCTATTCTATTCTATTCTATTCTATTCTATTCTATATTTTATTCTATATTCTATTCTATTCTATTCTATATTTTATTCTATATTTTATTCTATATTCTATTCTATTCTATTCTATTCTATTCTATATTCTATTCTATTCTATATTCTTTATTCCATTCTCTATTCCATATTCTGTTTTAATTCTATTCCATATTCTATTCTATTCTATTCTATTCTATTCTATTCTATTCTATTCTATTCTATTCTATTCTATTCTATTCTATTCTATTCTATTCTATTCTTTCTATTCTATTCTCTATTCTCTATTCCATTCTCTATTCCATATTCTGTTTTAATTCTATTCCATATTCTATTCCATATTCTATTCCATATTCTATTCTATCCTATTCTATATTTTATTCTATATTTTATTCTATATTCTATTCTATTCTATTCTATTCTATTCTATTCTATTCTATATTCTATTCTATTCTATATTCTCTATTCCATTCTCTATTCCATATTCTGTTTTAATTCTATTCCATATTCTATTCTATTCTATTCTATTCTATTCTATATTTTATTCTATTCTGATTCCGACTGATTCATTGGATGGTCCAAGGCAAAGCAAGGAGAGCCATCTCATCCTTGGAAGTCATGATTATGTCTACGGAGAGTCTCCAGACATCGTTATGGCTTTATACAAGCTACCTTCAGGCACTTTTGCAAAGCTTACGGTGATATGCGAAATGCACGCCGGTACTATTACTGCTCTGAAAATTGGGGGGGGGGGAGTCACAATGAAACCAAGGCTTGAGGCCAGAAAGAAAGCTTCTGGAAAGAATGTAAGCAGAGATGAATCACCCTCTTTGAGCAGGAGAAATTCTTCAATTTCGGTGAAGCCATGTGCAAGCTCCAAAATTCCTCCGTTAGCAAATTTCAACATGTTAGGAAGCACCACCGTCATCTTTTTTTTTTTTAAAGAAAAATACTTTTGCTCAAACCCAAAGAGATAAAGAGTAAATCCTTCCAGCTGAAGTCTTCAAGTCTGTGCAACTATCAACCAAGGCAACGATGCCCCCCTTCAAAGGCATAAAAAAAAAAACCCAAAGGCACTGAAAAAAAGTCACTTAGGACCATGTTTCACACTGATGACCGTTGCAGCATCCCCACAGCCGTGTGATCAAAATTCAGACTCTTGAGTAGCTGATTCACATTTATGACGGTTGCAATGTCCCCCAGGGTGACGGGATTCCCTCTTGCAACCTTATGACAAGCAAAATCAATCAACTTTTTATAACATGAATAGAATAGAAATATAGAGAATAGAATAGAATAGAATAGAATAGAATAGAATAGAATAGAATAGAATAGAATAGAAACGGGAAGGGACCTTGGAGGTCTTCTAGTCCAGCCCCCTGCTCAAGCAGGAGAACCTATACCATCTCAGACAAGTGACTGTCTAGCCTCTTCTTAAAAATCTCCATTGACGGAGCACCTACTATTTCTGGTGGCAAGCTGTTCCACTAGTTAATTGTCCTCACTGTTAGGAAGTTTCTCCTTAATTCCAGGTTGCTTCTCTCCTTGATTAGTTTCCATCCGTTGCTTGTTTTGCTTTCTAGTGCTTTGGAGAATAAGTTGACCCCTTCCTGTTCTTTGTGGCAGCCCCTCAAATACTGGAATGCTGCTATCATATCTCCCCTATTTCTTCTTTTCTTTAGACTGGCCAAACCCAGGTCCCGCAGCTGTTCTTCTTATGTTTTAGTCTCCAGGCCTTGGATCATCTTAGTTGCTCTTCTCTGAACATTTCCCAAGGTCTCAATGTCTTTCTTTTTTGTAGCATGGTGACCAAAATTGGCTGCAGTATTCCAGGTGTGACCTCACTAGGGTTTCATAAAGCGGTACTAATACTGTGTTCTTGATTCTATGCCTCTGTTTACACAACCCGGGATTGTATTGGCTTTTTTGGCTGCTGCTGCACATGGCTGGCTCATGGTCAAGCGGTCGTCCACTAGGTTCTTCCCTCTCATGTGAACTTTGCCCAAACCCAAAGAGACAAAGTCCTTCCAGCTGAAGTCTTCAAGATTGTCCAAACATCAGCCAAGGAAACTTGATGACCCCCCCCCCTGCAAATCCTTGCCACAACCGCAAGGATTTCTCCACCTGCCTAGGGCTGCCACAAAAACATACGGTACCCATCTTAGTTGTCACCAAAGAAAGCACAACCTTGCAACCTCTGGTGCCACTAACGCTTCGGATTGTACACCGTTACCCTGTTTTCCACCCAATATTTGTCGAAGCGCAAAGAGAAGCTTGAACCGTGTTTGCAGTGGAAATTTTTCTGCCAAGGCCGTTTTCCTTTTCCCACTCTTTCTGGATAGGTTCCCTATTGGGCTTTGCACGCCTGCAGTCACCTTTTTTTTGGGGGGGGGAATCTCTCCATCCATGCAGGGAAGTTCTGCTCGTCTTCCAACTTTTCCCAGCAAGCCATTCAATCCGGATTGCAGGTAAGTCCTCCACTTGCACCACTTCGTTTAGTGACCGTTCCAAGTTACAACAGCACTGGAAAAAAGTGACTTGTCACCATGTTTGCCACCGATGACCGTTGCAAGCATCCCCACAGCCATGTGATCAAAATACTACACACTACAAAAAAGATGTTGAGACCTTGGAAAAAGTTCAGAGAAGAGCAACTCAGATGATCCAAGGCCTGGAGACTAAAACATATGAAGAACGGCTGCGGGACTTGGGTCTGGCCAGTCTAGAGAAAAGAAGGACCAGGGGAGATATGATAGCAGCATTCCAGTATCTGAGGGGCTGCCACAAAGAAGAGGAAGGGGTCACGTTATTCTCCAAAGCACCAAAAGGAAGGAAAAGAAACAATGGATGGAAAGCAATCAAGGAGAGAAGCAACCAAGAATTAAGGAGAAACTTCCTAACAGTGAGGACAATTAACCAGTGGAACTACTTGCCACCAGATGCTGTGAGTTCTTCACCACTGGAGGTTTTTAAGAAGAGACTGGACAACCATTTGTCTGAGATGGTATAGGTACTCCTGTTTGAGCAGGGGGCTGGATTAGAAGACCTTCAAGGTCCCTTCCAGTCTATTCTATTCTAAATTTAGACACTTGGCAACTGACTCAAATTTATGATGGTTGCCATTTCCCTTCCCCCCACCCCCACCCCGGTCATGGGATCCCCTTTTGCGACCTTCTGACAAGCAAAGTCAGGGAGGAAGGAAGGAGAGGAAGAGAAGGGAAGAAGGAAGGAAGGAGGGCAAGAAAGGGAGAGAAGGGAGGAAGGAAGTAGAGGAAGAGAGGGAAGTAGAGGAAGCAAAGTCAGGGAGGAAGGAAGTAGAGGAAGAGAAGGGAAGAAGGAAGGAAGGAGGGCGAGAAAGGGAGGGAAGGGAAGAAGGAAGGAGAGGAAGAAGAGAAGGGAAGAAGGAAGGGAGGTGGGTGAGAGAGGGAGGGAGGGAAGGAAGGAAAGGAGGAAGGAAACAAAAGCAGGAAGGAAAGAAAGAAGGAAGGAGGAAGAGAGAGGGAGGGAGGGAAAGATAGATGGAAGGAAGGAGAGAGAGAGAGAGAGAGAGAGGAAGGAAAGAAAGAGGGAGGAAGAGGAAGGAAGGAAGGAAGGAAGGAAAGTTCCTTCCAAAGTCAGATTCACTTCATCAACCTCCTCACTGCCACAACGGCTGCGGCAAGAAAGGTCGTAAAGCGGGGCAAAAGACCGACTTCCCAAACTCAACCCCAGAAAGCTGGGCTATACCGTAACTCGAGGAGCGCCTGCAGAGAAGTCCCCTCCTGCTCCTGCTCCTCCCCCTGCCCAGCCCAGCGACCTTGGCGTCCCCCCCTCTCCCCCCCTCCCCGGGCCGCAGGTAAGCGCCAAGCCGGCGGGCCCGGGACTCACCTGCCGCCTCCTCCGGCCGCGCCTCGCGGGCGTTCAGGTAGAGGATGGAGAGCAGGTGAGGCTGCGTCTTCTCCAGCGCCACCCGCAAGTCCTGGAAGTGGTCGCGCTCCTTGGCCAGCAGCAGCTGGAGCAGCAGCTCGGCCTTGGCCACGCTGGCCGGGAGGGGCTCCCCGGCCCCGCCGCCGCCGCCGCCGCCGCCCTCGCCGCCTTCCCCCGGCCCCGCGGCGGCGGGCAGGCCGGCCTCCCGCAGGCGGAGCAGGTCGCGGGGCCCCAGCACGGCGGCCGCCTCCAGCAGCGCGATCACCTGCTCCACCTCGCTCATGGCCTCCGCCAGGCGCGGCTGACAGCGGGCCAGCAGCTCTTTGTGCTTCGGCTCCATGGCCGCCGCCGCCGCCTCAGCAGCAGCCACGGCAGCCCGGGCGCCCGCGACTCCCCTGGCCGAAGCGCCGCGGCTGCCCGGCCCGCGATGGCGGCGGCGGCGGCCAGGAGGAGGAGGAGGAGGAGGATGTCCTGGCGGGCGTCTTCCTTCCTTCGCTCCCTCCCTCCCTCCTTCTTTCCTGCCTTCCTGTTTTCCTCTCTCCTTCCTTCCCTCCCTTCCTCCTTTCCTTCCTTCCTCCCTCTTTCCCTCCTTCCTTCCTGCTTTCCCTCCTTCCTTCTTTCCTCTTCCTTCCCTCCTTTTCTTTCTTTCTTGCTTTCCTTCCTTCCCTGTCTCCTTCCTTTCTTTCCTTCCTGCTTTCTTGCTTTCCCTCCTTCCTTCCTGCTTTCCTTCCTTCCCTCCCTACCCCTTCCTTCCTTCCCTCTCTCCTTCCTTTCTTTCCTTCCTGCTTTCTTGCTTTCCCTCCTTCCCTCCCTCTCTCCCCTTCCTTCCTTCCCTCTCTCCTTCCTTTCTTTCCTTCCTTCCCTCTCTCCTTCCTTTCTTTCCTTCCTTTCTTGCTTTCCCTCCTTCCTTCCTGCTTTCCTTCCTTCCCTCTCTCCTTCCCTTCCTTCCTCCGATGGAGGGAGGGAGGAGGCCCCTCCTACTCGCCCAGGGAGCTCCGCAACTTTTCGGCCTCAGACAATGGGCGCCGCGCGCGGGACTCCCACGCCGCCCGCGCCCACCCGCGCCCGGCCAGAGGCAGGCAGGCAGGCAGGCCGGCAGCGAAGGGAAGGGAAGGGGCGCGCCCGGCCTTCCCTCCCTCGCTCCCTCCCTCGCTGTCCCCGGCCTCGCTCCCTGCTCCCGAGGGCGGATTTCCTCCGCGACTCGGCACAAAGTTACGCCGCCAGTGGCAACTGTTGCTCTGGCCCGCCCAGGGGCCGGTCGGCGCGGCGGGGCGGGAGGCAAAAGCCCGGCCGAGCCTTCCGCGCCCCCTTCGCTGAGGGGAGGGAAGGGGCAGCCCGCGCCTCCCCCGAACTGCCGCCGCCCCCGCTCCGCTTTCCCGGCTGCGTGGTCGGGGGGGCCCGGCCTGGCGCGTCCCCCGGGGAAGGGGCGGCTTCGGGGGCGCCTCCCGGCCGGGCCTGCCCTCAGCAGCTCCGGCGGGCGCACGCAGCCATCTTTGCTGCTGCCGCCGCTTCTGCTGGGCTCCTCGGGCGGGGGCCGCCGCGCTGGGCTGCAGGACCGGCCTTTCCCCCTGCCCGGCCGGCCTCCCTCCCTCGGCCTGCGCGGAGGGGAGGAGAGCGGGCCGCCGAGCTGGCCCGGCCGCCCCCCCGCCTCCTTTGCCGCCCCTCCCCCGGGTCCAGCGCTGGAGGAGCCCCGGCCCGGCTGCTGAAACTTTCTCGCCCCCCCCCCACTGCCCCGACTCGTCGGGACGGGCGGGCAGGAAAGCGGCCGCCTTGGGCCTTCCCCAGCCGGCCTGGCTGGCTGGTAGGCAGCGCAGGGAGGGAGCTCTTTGGTCCCAGGGCCAGCCGGGTCTTGCTGAGCCTTTGGCAGAATCGGGCTCCTCTCTGGCCCAAGTCTGGGAGGGGGTGTCGGGGACTGGGGTCTGCAGCTAAGCAGGATCGGGCCTGGTTGGAACTTGGAGGGGAGGCCTCCCTGGAATTGCAGGGCTGGAGGCTCACTGAACAATAGAGTTAGAAGGGACTTTGGAGGTCTGCTAGTCCAACCCCCTGCTCAAGCCAGAGACCTTTCTCTCCTTCTTCTCCTCCCCCTCCTCCGAATAACAGTTGGAAGGGAACTTGGAGATCTTCTAGACCAGTGTTTCCCAAACTTGACAATTTTAAGGCATGTGGACTTCAACTCCCAGAATTCCACAGCCAGCAACGCTGGCTGTGGAATTCTGGAAGTTGAAGTCCACATGCCTTAAAATTGTCAAGTTTGGGAAACACTGGTCTAGACCAACCCCCTGCTGAAGCAGGAGACCCTTCTCCTCCTCCTCCTCCTACGAATCACAGTTGGAAGGTACCTTGAGGTCTTCTAGTCCCACCTCTGGCTCAAGCACAAGAACCTACACCAAGGATCCCCAGCTCGTAGGTCACGGCCCGGCTGAGGCCCATTGGAATCAGGCAGTACGAGTAGCTGGCTGGTTCCCCTTTCCCCCTCCTTGCTGGGCTGTCGAGATTGGGGACCTCTGCCCTCCACCCTTCCAGACAAGGGGCTGTCCAGTCTCTTCTGAAAAGCCTCCAGTGTTGGAACACCCACAACTTCTCTTCCGATGATTAATTGTCCTCACTGTTAACCAAATTCCTCCTTAGTTCTAGGTGGCTTCTCTCCTTGATTTCCACCCGTTCTTTCTTGCCTTTCTAGGGTGAAGCCCCTCCCTGAATTGGCCAAGAAAAGTCGGCGGCGGCGGTGGGCAGGCCGGCCTCCCGCAGGCGGAGCAGGTCACGGGGCCCCAGCATGGCGGCCGCCTCCAGCAGCGCGATCACCTGCTCCACCTCTTTCTCCCTCCTTCCTTCCCTCTCTCCTTCCTTTCCTTCCTTCCTTTCTTGCTTTCCCTCCTTCCGTCCTGCTTTCCTTCCTTCCCTCTCTCCCCCTTCCTTCCTTACTTCCCTCCCTCTCTCCTTCCCTTCCTTCCTCCGATGGAGGGAGGGAGGGAGGGAGGGAGGGAGGAGGCCCCTCCTACTCGCCCAGGGAGCTCCGCAACTTTTCGGCCTCAGACAATGGGCGCCGCTTGTTGCGATGCTGTTTGTCAGTTGTATCTTTTCTGCTTTCTTTCCTATTTATTTATTTATTTATGAGACTTATATACCGCTTTAAGCGCAAGCACTCTCTAAGCGGTGTACACCAGTAAGCAATGTATATATATATTTACATTGCCCCCAACAATCTGGGTCCTCATTTTACCTACCCCGGAAGGATGGAAGGCTGAGTCAACCTTGAGCCGGTGAGATTTGAACCGCTGACCCGCTGAACACAGTCAGCTAAAGTGGCCTGCAGTACTGCACTCTAACTGCTGCGCCACCTTCCAAGGTCCCAAAGCACAGGAGAAATTTAAGTGGCTCACGTTACGCCGAATAAAATGGGATGAGCAGAAAGGAGATGGTAAGCAAATTTTAAAGTAATCAAATGACCTAGCAAGGGGCCAGCCCTCTTTTACGTCGAAATTGAAAGGCTGAAAGGAAGTTGGGGGCAACTGAAGGGAACGTGGATGGCTTCGTGAACTGGTCCTTTACTATCGCCAAAGGCTCGCTTCTTTTCGTGAGCTACTGAGCTTGCAGAGGTCTCTATCCTGCCTTTTCTAAAGGAGGGGCAGAATTCTCACCTTCCGTATGAATAAAGGATGTTTCCGATCTGACCGATCTCGAGTGTACTTTTGAACAGACAAATCCATCTTCGGGTGTTTCCCCATTCTTACACCCTAAGCAGTTTATTTTTCTTGCAGATGATGAGGAATCTGTGGGAAAAAAACCAACAAATGTTCCCTGGTTTGAGAGATGAGTAGTATTTATGGTCTAACAGGCATTTGGTGATTCCCAGCGTCACTAAGAAAGTCCTGGTTTTTATTATGCCCCCTTAGCGACAGGACAGAGAAACGCCTTCAGGAACTGAACTGTGGGTGCTCTGTACAATTGTCCCTTCAGAGCACCCCTCCTCTTTAATTCAAAAAGTGGGAGATGTCAGGACTCACTCTAAAGGGTTACTTCAACCCTCAGGGCTTCACCAGTAAGCCAAGGGCAAGGAAAGAGGAATTATCTGCATTACGCGAGCTTTCAGTCCATGCAATGCAACCCTCGATACGTAGGCTGGTTCAGAATCTCTCCTGTCTCTCTCTGTGTCCTTCTAGGGCACGGCAAAGGAGCGGAGCTTTGGCGCGGTGAAGTTCAAGCAGTGTGCTACTGAAAACATGGCACGGGAGCATTTTAAGAAACACGGCACTGAGCATTATTGGGATCTAGGCTCTGAGCGAGTCAGTCCTAGAACCCACAGACGGGCGGCCTTTTCTGGAGCCCCTTCTCACATTTCTGGGCGTTTGACATAAAGGGCAAGAATGGAGCAGAAACATTTAAGACTCTAAGCCCTGCCCCCCCCCGCCCCCCTCATTCCCACAAATTCCTCACCGTACAACGCACACAATTAAAGGAAATATTTTTCAGATCCAAAGAACGGCTTTTGATTTTAATGTTTGGCTTTGGACTAACAGGACACGCGTGTGAGAGAGCTCTTCAGCTTCCCCACTGCCACAAGTACACCTTCACTCAGTCTTGGGGTTTTATCATTCCTGCCCTGCAGGAGTGCCAAGGAGAGGATATTAAAACGTCTGGCTCTAAAAAATGCTATTCTACTCTTAGGAAAGTTCAGGTCTTTCAGATACCTTGCTGGTCCCCACGCACCCCATTTAATCCATTTTCTTGCTGCAGAGAGAGACTCTGTTAAGCTCCAGCTGGAACTCCACATCTCTTATTCTGTTGGTAGCCGCTTTGCTTGGGTTGGTCGTAGCCGAGGGATATTTAAAAACAGCGAGGAAAGTGCACAGGAGGCCCGCTTGGGCTCCCATCGCCTGTTTCCTGGGAGAGGGGAAGTTATTTATTGAGACTAAAGCAGTCAAGCCCTCTGGGAAGAATTGAGTCCTACGGTGAAAGAAGGAATAGCAGCCACAAAAGGAAATAAACCCTTTTAACATGATTTTAAGATTATTATTATTATTATTATTTATTTATCTATTGAAGCTATTGGATGCTATTAAGGGTCAAAAAACAGTGCCATCCATCCCGTGGCTGAAGCAGGTATAGCAGCCATTACAAAACTTTGCAATGGCATTTTAAGGCTGTTCTTTATTATTAAAACCTTATTAACATTAATAGGGCATCATAGTCCTCCTTAACTAGGTTGAAGGCTTTTGAAGCAGATTTCTTCTTCCGCGCCTGTGCGTTGCAGCAAACGGGCCTCCCCTGGCCCTGTTAATAAGGTGTTAATACCGTTAATAAAGACAGAGAATATCCTCATTTTAAAATGCCATGAAAAGCGTTTATTTCTTTTGGTGGCCGCAATACCCGCTTTTGACCACAGGAGGGCAGAGTTTTCCGTCCCGTAGCATTAACGTCGAGGCCTTTTGCCCAGCATCGGGACACCGAGAAGCTAAGCCGCGAAGCGCAGAGCGTCGCCGCTCTATGCTCCTCCGAAAGGGACGGGCCGCTTCCCTCGGCCTTCGGCGCATGTCCGCCGGCTGGTTCTTCGCCAGCAATCTCTCAGAGGCCTTCTCGGCGATGGCGGACTTCCTGTCCCTCGCTATCGGCCGCCGCCCGGGTCCTGTGAGAAAAGGACCTTTCCAAGATGGCCGACTTCCGGCCCTTCGTTCTGAATCGTTCCCCCGATTTCCTTTCCCAGAAGACCTTCTCTGTATGGCGGACTTTCCGTCCGATCCAATCTGCCGTCCACCGGGGCCTTTGCAAAACGCCCTTTCCCGTCGTGGTGGTGGTGGAAGGAGGGAAGGAGGGAAGGAGATGGGCGAGCGGGCCGGGTTGTATCACACTCTGCCTTTGTAAGGGGCTGAAACTTCCAGCAGGCTCAGGCAATGTGCGGACTCGTTCCAGAAGGAGGAGGGGTGGAAATGCAGGATTGGGCGTTCAGGAAGGCTGCCCTTGTCCCGAGGCACCGACGGTTCTCCCAGCTTGCTTTTTGCGGGGCGGAGGGTTGGGGGGAGAATGCAGAACACCTCTGCCCCTTTGCAGAAGGGATGTGGCAGAAATAGCATCACTTGGCGCAACCTGGAGTAAACAAAACCGGTTTCAGGCCATTATGTCAGGGTAGGCCAGTGTTTCTCAACCTTGACCATTTTATGGCATGTGGACTTCAACTCCCAGAATTCCACAGCCAGCAATGCTGGCTGTGGAATTCTGGGAGTTGAAGTCCACATGCCTTAAAATGGTCAAGGTTGAGAAACACTGGGGTAGGCCAAGTTGGACCATAAGAAAGGCTGAGCGCCAAAGAATGGAGGCCTTTGAACTCTGGTGCTGGAGAAGACTCCTGCGAGTCCCCTGGACTGCAAGGCGTTCAAACAGGTTGGTCCTAGAGGAGATCAACCCCGACTGCTCTTTAGAAGGCCAGATCCTGAAGTTGAAACTCAAATACTTTGGCCACCTAATGAGAAGGAAGGACTCCCTGGAGAAGAGCCTAATGCTGGGAAAGATGGAGGGCAATAGAAGAAGGGGACGACAGAGAATGAGGTGGCTGGATGGAGTCACTGAAGCAGTAGGTGTGAACTTAAATGGACTCCAGAAGATGGCAGAGGACAGGAAGACCTGGAGGAGCGTTGTCCATGGGGTCACAATGGGTCGGACACGACTTCACAATTAACAACAACAACAAGGCCAAGTCTTCAGAAACATGCGCTTTGACAAAGCAGCACAAGGAACTCGTCTCTCTGGCTTTTCCTTTGAGAGTCGCTCTGGGTTTATGGTTGGGACCTCCTCCCAGTTATTGCGTTTGTGAAGTTGTGCTTCATCGCTTGTTGCGATGCTGTTGGTCAGTTGCATCTTTTCTGCTTTCTTTCCAAGGTCCCAAAGCACAGGAGAAATTTAAGCGGCTCGCGTTAACACCGAATAAAATGGGATGAGCAGAAAGGAGACGGTAAGAAAGTTTTAAAGTAATCAAATGACCTAAAAAGGGGCCAGCCCTCTTTTACATCGAAATTGAAAGACTGAAAGGAAGTTGGGGGCAACTGAAGGGAACGTGGATGGCTTCGTGAACTGGTCCTTTACTATCGCCAAAGGCTCGCTTCTTTTCGTGAGCTACTGAGCTTGCAGAGGTCTATATCCTGCCTTTTCTAAAGGAAGGGCAGAATTCTCACCTTCCGTATGAATAAAGGATGTTTCCGATCTGACCGATCTCGAGTGTACTTTTGAACAGACGAATCCATCTTCGGGTGTTTCCCCATTCTTACACCCTAAGCAGTTTATTTTTCTTGCAGATGATGAGGAATCTGTGGGAAAAAAACCCAACAAATAGTAATAGTAGTAAAGTTGGAAGGGACCTTGGAGGTCATCTAGTCCAACCCCCTGCTCAGGCAGGAAACCCTACACCATTTCGGACAAATGGCTGTCCAGTCTCTTCTTAAAAACTTCCAGTGTTGGAGCATTTACTGCTTCTAGAGGCAGGCTGTTCCACTGGTTAATTGTTCTCACTGTCAGGAAGTTTCTCCTTAGTTCTAGGTTGCTTCTCTCCTTGATTAGTTTCCATCCATTGCTTCCTGTCCTGCCTTCAGGCACTTTGGAGAATAGCTTGACTCCCTCTTCTTTGTGGCAGCCCCTGAGATATTGGAACACTGCTATCATGTCCTCCCTTTTCCTTCTCTTCATTAAACTAGACATACCCAATTGCAGTAACTGTTAACACTTCTGTTATGTGATACTTGGGCACCGAGCAGTAAGCTGACATGATTTAAGCATGAAAGTCATCTGAGAAGCATGAAAAATCATTCAAATCTTGCACAGACGGCATTTGCAAAGCGATGCGAGCGACACCTTGGGGACGAGAGATAAATTTGAACCCAGGTCCCAAAAGTCATGCTAATACATTCAAAATAATCTACCGGTGGTTGTGCTTGTCTTTTCCTTAATGCTTGATCCAGGGATTGGAGTGAGTTGCCACAGGCTCAAAATCAAAAGACAATGAAGAAAATAAACAAGGCAAGTCCACATACCAGATCCCAGAAAGTCTCTTCCTATCCAATCAATCAGAATAGAGCTGGAAGGGACCTTGGAGGTCATCTAGTCCAACCCCCTGCTCAGGCAGAAAACCCTATACCATTTCAGACAAATTGTTGTCCAATCTCTTCTTAAAAACTTCCAATGTTGGAGCATTCACAACTTCTGGTGGCAAGCTGTTTCACTGGTTAACTGTTCTCACTGTCAGGAATTTTCTCCTTAGTTCCAGGTTGCTTCTCTCTTTGATTAGTTTCCATTCGTTGCTTTTTGTCCTGCCTTCTGGTGCTTTGGAGAATAGCTTGACCCCTTCTATCTAAAAAAATCATCTTCTTCTATGGATCTAATACAGTGGTTCTCAACCTTTTTAATGCCGTGACCCCCTGGACAATTCCTATTGGCTTTGGAAAGCCAATAGAATTAGACTCTATTCAAGAGAGTCTATTCTATTGGCTTTCAAAAGCCAATAGAATAAAAGGGAGTAGCACAGCTGAGGAAAAGGGGGAAAAAATGGTGGACTGCGTTGTTTGGCGACCCCCGTGAAATGGTCATTTGACCCCAAATGGGGTCCCGACCCACAGGTTGAGAACCACTGATCTAACAGCTGGTGTACCCATGAGCACTTTTTTTGTGTGTGGTGACATCAAGCAATAACTTGTCCACCCACAGATCCCAATACATCATTTTTTGGGGTGTATTCAGGTTTTATTAAAGTAGCTGTTTTCAGTGACAGACTGTCATGCCTATGTAAATAATTGTTGGCTCTTTTTTCTAGAGGTTTTGTATCCTGATTCATATTTATTCCTGAACAATTGACAAAGTTGACCCCCTCCCTCTTCTTCGTGGCAGCCCCTCAAATATTGGAACGCTGCTATTATGTCACCCCTAGTCCTTGTTTTCTCTAGACTGGTCAGACCCAAGGCTGCAAAGGGGCATGGCCAAGCCACCACTTTTTGATGGTCCCACCAGTGAATCTTAGCCAATTTGTCTTATTTAACACCCACCCCCCTTTCCCCACATAAGTCAACCTACTGTATCCCAGGGACCCAGAAGTGCTAGCAACAAAGCCCAGTTCTTATTTCCTCACTGCAGGAGGCTGTTTCTACCCAAATGTCCAAAGTCATCATGGTGATGGCTGTCATATCCCAGCTCACAATTCAGAGTATATTTTTTGCTCCAAGCGCAAGCACAGATTGTCCTAAAGGAATTGAATTCAGTGTACGGCTGAATTAAAGTCAGCCCCGGCACGCTCCGTTTGATATAAGTGTCGTGGGGAATTGTTGTTTCTTAGCACGAGAGCAACTTTGGAGTCAGACGGTGGAAAAGAATGGAATGGAATAGAATACAAATAAGAATAGAATAGAATAGAATATGGAATGGAATGGAATAGAACAGAATAGAATAGAACAGAATAATGGCATATGGAACAGAATAGAATAATAGAATATAGAATAATGGAATATAGAATAGAAAATAGAACAGAACAATGGAATATAGAATAGAACAGAATAGAATAGTATTTTATGAGAATGTCCATCCAGAAGGTTGAAGGATCCTAATGTAAAACAAGAAGCTGGCAGCTTGACAAACATTTGAAACACTTCTCAGTGAAGGCTTGTGTCTTTTGGAAACTTACACAGCCTCAGTCCTTTTCCTTATCTCCGTTACTTTAATTATATGGATTACCTCAAAGGATTAATAGAAGGATTATCAAGATAAGACTATGGAGAATTGCATTTAGATTATTCTAGTCTCTTAAAAAAAAGAGATTTTGTGGGATTAAAAAAAAAAAAGATTATTGGGTCCCCGCCACTTCTAAAAGTTGCTCACCTTCAACATTCATTTATTTTGAGATTTTTCTACTTACAGCCCATGATTTAATTCAGCGGTACCCAATCTTTCTGGCTTGGCGGCCCAGTGGTGTGTGTGTGTGTGTGTGTGTGTGTGTGTGTGTGTGTGTGTGTGCAGTTTCCTGCGAGTGGCAGGTGGGTGGGTGTGAGCACACACAGCTCCATTTGTGCGAGTGGCAGGCACACGCACCCACATTTGGAATCTACCAAGATATTAAGAATTGTACGTTTTTGGTTTCAGGTATAGGAATTGGTTAAAATGTTTATGCATTACTAGGAGAAATGTATATAGGACTTGCAGCAGTGGAATTGTGGTATATATTTGTAGAATTAATTAATTTGTAGAAATAAATTCGAATGCTGGCAGAAGCAAGGAAGGAATCTGCAGAGCAGTGTAGTCAAAATTGGAGAACGCTGTTCTGCTTTTAATTGTCCCAAGTTTTTATTCCTTTCGAATTATCGGGGTTACTAACTTTTAGATTACTTTACCTTGTCATCGACGCTGTAAGAGTATATATATATTGTGTGTGTGTGTGTGTGTGTGTGTGTGTGTGTGTGTGTACAGTCTTCTAGGACATAACTTCACAATAAATAACTTCACAAAAGAATATAAAACGTTTATCCAGTAAAATGCATCTTTCCTTCCTCTGTTTCATTGTGGGAAAAAAATGTCGCTTTATTCACAGCATTAGAATCTTGAGATTTCTTTTTTACATTTTTTGGGTGGGGCATACACACATACACACATGCTTCTGGATTGAGTTTCCCTGCTTACTTTGACTCTTAAATAGACATTTGCTTATAACCCATTTACAACATAAACCATATAAGGAGCACACACCAATTTACGTTTCAGTTAAAATACACCCACACCCACACAAACAAACATATACCCTGTTTGAGAAGCACACACCAGTTTACGTTTCAGTTAAAAAAGATAGATTTATATATATATATATATATATATATATATATATATATATATATATATATATATATATATATGCTCCTAGAAGCACGAAGCCTAGAAGAAAACACCAGCCTGAAGATGACGAATGAGACTTCGTCGAAACGTCGCCAAGACACTTCCAATTTGACATGGGAGAAAACCCGAATAACCAAAGACCTACATACAAACACCCGCGAAAACCCCAGAAAACACACACACACACACACACACACACACACACACACACACACACACACTATGAAGTTATTCTCTGGTGCTGACCAGCTGCTGCTACGATGGAAGGGTGGTGTGGAAATCGGGGTTATCAAAAATTAAAGGCCGTCTGGGTGGAACAGCCTCTTTGTCGGCTTTATGCAGCAGCTTGAACAGTCCTGTTCCGATGTTCATTGGGATACCCATAATAATACATTCAGAAACGCCTGTGGAACATCAAGAAAAGAGAAGAAAGAAGAAGAAGAAAAACGTTTCACTCTTTCCCAGCTTTTCTCATTCTCCACCTGCACGGTTTATTTATTAAACAGATTGACCCGGCCGCTCGACTCACACAAAATGGACGAAACCTGTCTGCTTTAATAAACCAGGGGCCTTCTAATTTAATTTAGTGTTTCTTTTGCCTCATGAAAAAAAAACACCTTTGGGATAACTATGACTTGGATGGCTGAGAATCTCTATAAGTCATTACCTTTTTGTACCACATTTGAAAGTCAAGAGAAAGAACTTAATATATGGGGGGGGGGGAACTGAGCGGAAAAGGCCTTCTCATATATATATTTTTCACTCTGCCCTAAGAACTCAACTGATTTTACACAAAGGACACACCTGGTTTACAGAGATGTACCGAATGGCTAGGAGACATCTTGGCCTACGCTACTTACCGCACACCGAATCCTTCTGCCCGAAGTAGGCGGCATCAAAGAGGTGGTCTGCCGTCTTTTCGAATGAAGCAAGCATCAAGACGCTCTCTTTCATTTTGGCTAATCCGAATCTAGTAATCCCCAGAACTTCACCCTAATCCCCAAAAAAGGGGGGGGGAGGGAGTGGAAGAGCAAAAACAATTATCATTACTACAGAGTTGCCTAACAGGTAGACCGGGAAAAAAAAAAAAGCTTCATTCCAAATTTCGTACTACAAGGGATAATATAGAGACCATTTAAAAACAAAAACCTGGGATGAAAACCAGATAGAACCAATGGGGATTACTTGATTTCTCATCTGTTGAAAGAAGGATTATAAATACAATTGTCCTCTCTGAAAAAAAAACAACAACACCCTCCCCGTTGCAGGACTTGTGAAATTAGCTACCCAAGTCTTTCATAAAGCATACACAGAATACAGCCCAACGACAAAGAACAAGGGATGGGAGTATAAGTATAAAAAGAATAGAAAAGGATAATAAAGAATAGAATACAATAGAATACAATAGAATATGGAAAGAAAAGAATATAGAATAGAATAGAACAGAATAGAATATGGGATAGAATAAAATATAGAATAGATATAGAATAGAATATGGATTAGAATAGGAAAAGAATATGGAATAGAGCATAGAATAGAATAGAATAGAATAGAATAGAATAGAATAGAATAGAACAGAACAGAACATGGAATGGAGAATGGAGAATAGGATAAAATAGAACAGAATAGAATAGAATATATGGGATAGAATAGAATATAGAGTAGAATAGAATAGAATAGAATATGGAATGGAATAGAATAGAATATAGAACAGAACAGAATTCTTTATTGACCAAGGGCGATTGAACACACAAGGAACTTGTCTCTGATGCAGAAGCTCTCAGTGTACATGCAAACTACAAAGTGACAGATCATAGATCATAGTTACAATCATTAATCATAAGATTAAAAACAAGTGATAAATCACAGGGGAAGGTAGTAGGAAAGATGAGAAGGATAATAGCAATACAGCCCTAACTATGTGGGTAAATACCTTTAGGCCTAAGACAGGGCTGTGCAAATTAGGTGTTCAGCAGAGTGAGGGCACGGGAGGAAAAAAAACTACCTTTGTGTCTAATTGTTTGGGCGTGCAATGCCCTGTAGCTGCGTCCTGAGGGAAGGAATTGAAACAGATTCATGTCCAGGATGTGAGGGGTTTGTGGTTATCTTCTCAGCCCTCTTTTTGGTTTGTGTAGTGTACAGGTCCTCAATTGAAGGCATTTTCCTATATCTAAAGGAGAAGAACCCTTGCCCAAATTCCATGCTGGTATTATTGCTAAACTTTTCTTAGCATTTTCTTTATTTTTATTTTTTTTTTCAGAGGGGAAAGAATAAGCAATTTTATACAATAATGGGGGGAGGAATTCCAAACCTTGTAGGTCATTAGGTCCGACAACAACATGACATGCCTCCGATCAATACTCATTCCGTGGTTGACCATCGTATATTGGATTTCACTGATAATAGTGCTTCGTGCAGCCTCAATGCCCAGGGTTTTCTCAACCTGGAAGATTAATTTATGTTGCCTTCATGAAATGGAAAAAATCCTTATTCAATTTTCTCTGTTCTCCAACCCAATTATATTCACCTCTTTAAGGATTTCTATGGCATCTCTGATAGATAGGCTATAGGAATGTGTAAAAAAATGTCTGTCTATCATCCTTATCTATCTATCTGTCTGTCTGTCTACCTTGTCTGTCTACCTAGTCTGTCTGTCTATCCTATCTGTCTGTCATCTATCTATCTATCTATCTATCTATCTATCTATCTATCTATCTATCTATCTATCTATCTATCTATCTATCTATCTACCTACCTACCTACCAACCTACCTACCTATCTACCTATCCTGTCTGTCTACCTTGTCTGTCTGTCTATCCTATCCTATCAATCTACCTACCTACCTATCCTGTCTGACCACCTACCTACCTATTTTGTCTGTCTATCCACCCACCCACCCACCCATCTCCTGGTGGGTGACATATCCAACACACCTTCCTCGTCCTATTTCCCCCACAATCACATCCCTGTAAAGTCAGTTGGGCTGAGAGAGAGTGACTGGCCCCAAGTCCCCCAGTTGGGCTACAGTGGGACTAGAATTCACTGTCTCCCAGTTTCTAGCTTGGCGCCTTAACCATGGTTAGACCAAACTGGCTCTCTCTTTTTATGCCTTTGTCCAAAAAAGTGACGTCTTGCTTTTCCCCTTCATTACGTCCAGAACCATTCCCGTTATGATCTTACGACAATCCTTACACAGACCCTACAAAATGTGCATTAGGCCCATATTGCAGACAAGGCACCAAGCTTTAAATGAAGGCCTTACTTTAGTACAGGGGTCTTCAAACTTGGCCCTTTGATGACTGGTGGACTTCAACTCCCAGAATTCCTCAGCCAGGCATGCATGCCTGGCTGAGGAATTCTGGGAGCTGAAGTCCACCAGTCATCAAAGGGTCAAGTTTGAAGACCCCTGCTTTAGTACTTAAGTCAGTTCATGGAAGAAGCAAGATTTGAACCAAGGAAAAATGTTGCGTGCTTAGGACCCCTTAACTGCTTTGTTCCATCAATGTATTCCCTGTCATTGGTTACCTCATAAGTGTTGTTCGAGGTCGTTCTGGTTCCTTTGACTCCATGGGTGGCCATGACAGCTCTCAAGTTGTCACCTTCCACCAACAATTTGTACTTTTCCTTCCCACTCTGTTCGTCAATATGAATGACAGCCCGAGATACCTCTGGGATACCTTGCACCACCACCTAAAAAGTTGAAAGGGAAGCGACCAAAAGCAGAAACATTTGCTTTTTCTCAGGAAACACAGGATTAGTAGTGTAAAAACCACAAGCTTCCTTCACAGTTTTTACAAAGATTTGGCAGCTCATCTGACTGTTTCTCCCTGAAGGAAAACGGGTAGAATATGAATGAACGAGAATCGCAAGAGAGATATTCTTTGGTGATTAAACAGCTAGAGAAAAATCGTATGATTATACCATTTATTGCTTATGATTATTTAAATGTGGTAATTTTGGCTTCTCTCCATCATCGGCAGCCCCTGGAGCGTGATGATGCTGCATACATTTTACAAATAAATGCTTTCTGTGCGATCGAAATTTGCTTTTTTAATCAGGTCGGAGTGTACGAGATTTCACTGAAGCTTGAACAGTCCATGGTTTGATAAACACCAGTCTGGGGATGTCTTGGGGAAGGATGAAGAAGACAGTATTGATAGTCATAGCTGCCTTGGGTTCAATCCCAAAACATCTGGAACATCAATGTCTGTGGAGATTCTCAATCATCCAGATCATGGTTGTCATAAAGGTGCTTTTTCAAGAGGAAATTGGACTTTCTTGTTTTTTTTTGAAGATGTTTCATTTCTCATTCAAGAAGCTTCTTCAGCTCTGACTGGAAGGTGGGGAATGGAAGGATTTATACTCCTTGCAGACAGCTGGTCATTTGCATTCTTTTTAGAGAGTCGTTGAGGCCACTTGGACGTTTAGCTGTGTCCTCAAGGTCACCTGAGTGGTGCAAATGGGTATGGAGCCATTTGGGACTGCTGAAAAGATTTGTGTTGTAGACTGGAGATAGATGAGGTCGTATCCCTCACCCTCTTTGATCCCTCTTTCAAATCAGCGGTCCTCTCTGTTCAAAATGTGGACTTTGCTTTCTTCAAAAAAGTGGCCTTTTGTCTTTTAAAGAGTCTCTTCTCAATAGCAGAGAAGGAATACGACATCATCTATCTTCAATCTACAACACAGTCCTTTCAGCAGCTCCAAGAAGGCTCCACACCCATTTGCACCATTCTGAGGATACAGATAAACCTGCAGGTGGCCTCAAGGACTCTCTAAAACAGTGGTTCTCAACCTTTTTAATGCTGCGACCCCCCAACCGGTCGTAAGTCGAGGACTACTCAACCAGTCGTAAGTCGAGGACTACTCAACTGGTGCAGCACCGTTTGCAGAATGGGACTTTTGGCGGGCTTAGCAGGGCAGAGACAGCCTGGACAATTCCTATTGGCTTTTGAAAGCCAATAGAATTAGACTCTATTCAAGAGAATCTATTCTATTGGCTTTCAAAAGCCAATAGAAGAAAAGGGAGTAGCACAGCTAAGGAAAAGAGGAAAAAAATGGCGGACTGCGTTGTTTAGCAACCCCCGTGAAATGGTTGTTTGACCCCAAATGGGGTCCTGACCCACAGGTTGAGAACCACTGCTCTAAAAGAAGGCAAATGACCAGCTGTCTGCAAGGAGTATAAATCCTTCCATTCCCCACCCTCCAGTCAGAGCTGAAGAAGCTTCTTGGAGGAGAAGTGAAAGGTCTTCAAAGAAAAACAAGAAAGTCCAGTTGCCTCCTGAAAAAAGCACATTTGAGACATCTGGAACATCATTTGAACACCACTGAAATTGACAAAATATCACCATCGGTCAATTACAAAAGGCAGCTTTGGTTGAAACAGCTTATGTCCTGCAAAGGTACTTTTAACGCCATCAAACATCCACCCCTGCCTATCCCAGCTCCTTGGGAAGGACTCAACGCCAAATCCAATGTCAACATCTGGTTGGACGTGCAAAAAAGCCCTAACAAAAGTTGCAGCAATATTAAGAATCCCCCCCCCCCCCGGTTCGGAAGATTTTGAAGATCCTTTTCAGAAAAAAAAAATTGAACAATTTCACTTAGCCACCAATGGCAATAAAATCAAAAATTCTCACCTTTGGGAGTTCTTCCTTCAGGGATTGCAAGACATAATACATGGAGCTCTTGCTGTTCTCCCGGGGAGTAATACAGACCACCGCTTCCCCATGGACCACCACATCCCCAGGCTTCACTCTAAGCTTTGAGACGCAGATAGAATATCTCACAGTCTCTGCATTAACCTGCACGGGGAGAATATCCTGTTATTATCTGCGTCGGGTTTGGGGCCTCAAATCTGGTTCCGCAAGGATACAATCGCTATTAGCCGAGATGTTCAAAATACTAGTTTGACCAAGTGCTTATGATGGGATGACACCAAAACAAAGCATCTCTCTATTCAGCTATGGAATATATGATTTGAACCTAGAATCTTAGAAATACTCAAGTTATCTGCCAAAACTGGATGCCGTATTCCAAGTGTGGCCTTACCAAGGCCTTGTAAAGTGGTATTATTTATTTATTTATTTATGAGACTTATATACCACTTTAAGTGCAAGCACTCTCTAAGCGGTGTACACCAGTAAGCAATGTATATATATATTTACACTGCCCCCAACAATCTGGGTCCTCATTTTACCTACCTCGGAAGGATGGAAGGCTGAGTCAACCTTGAGCTGGTGAGATTTGAACCGCCGACCTGCTGAACACAGTCAGCTAAAGTGGCCTGCAGTACTGCACTCTAACTGCTGCGCCACCTCGGCTCTTATTAATACTTCACGTGATAAATAGTGCTAAATAGAAATATCAGTGTAATTTCTGCCCTCTTCTTTGGGGCAGCCCCTGAGATACTGGAAGACTGCTATCGTGTCCCCCCTCGTCCTTCTCTTCATTAAACTAGACATACCCAATTCCAGCAACCGTTCCTTATATATTTTAGCCTCCCTAATCATCTTTGTTGCTCTTCTCTGCACTCTTTCTAGAGTCTCAACATCTTTTTTTACATCGTGGTGACCAAAACTGGATGCAGTATTCCAAGTGTGGCCTTACCAAGGCCCTGTAAAGTGGTATTAACACTTCACGTGATCTTGATTCTATCCCTCTGTTAATGCAGCCCAGCACTATGTTGGCTTTTTTGGCAGCTGCAGCACACGGCTGGCTCACATCTAAGGGATTGTCCACTGGGATTCTGAGATCCCTCTCACAGTTATTAACTTACTCCCGTGCTGATACTTACTTCCAGCCTCAGCAGCCTGATCCGCTCTAGAGAAAGCTTGACAAGAATGAAACAGTCGTCGGGAAGAAAAACCTCCTCCATGTACTCTGAAATCTGCAAGTCGGAAAGAGGAACCTCTCAAGGGCCGTTGGCTCCTGAATATCCCTTGTATCCCACCGCACAAAACAGGGAGTCCTCAATTTACGACCACAGAGGTGCCGCAAAATTCCTACAATGATCACGTCAGTTTGGCGACCCCGTTTGACGGACCTCCCTTGCCGCAGTTGTTAAGTGAATCCAGCTATCCCGGATCTCCAGAGGGGGGATCGCAACCGTCATAAGTACGAGTCAGTTGCCAAGTACTTGAATTTGGATCACGTGAACCCAGGGAGGCGGCAACAGTGGTTAAGTGGTCTTAAGTCCCTTTTTTTCAGTGCCGTTGTTAACTTTGGCCAAGTTGTAATTTGAGGACTACCTGTACATATGAGCTATTACTGTGTTTCCCCGAAAATAAGCCCTAGCATGATTGTTTCAGGATCCTCGTAATATAAGCCCCCCCCCAAAAATAAGCTCCGGTTAAGATCGTCAGCCAAACGGGCGCATTGAGTACCGTATTTCCCCCGAATAGAAGCCCTAAGCAGGAAATAAGGCCTAATGAGTCTTTTGGAGCAAAAAATTAATGTAAGACCTGGTTTTATTTTCGGGGAAGCACAATATTAAGAAACACACCATACCTCTCCTAGAAGTGTCTTTTCTATTCTTCCTTTGACCAAACGGGCAAAATCGGGATCGTCGTCTTTGTCAAGATGGGCAGTGATAATTGGCGTGCTACATATAAGCAAGAGAAGCGTAACTGTGAAAAGGTTTTATATATATTCAGATTTCTTTTTGCTGACAAAGGGTTAGAAAATTAAGTGGGAGACTAGTATAGCTATTTCAGGCTCATTAGCCCTCATCAGCTAGCCACACCCATAAATCCCATAAAGGGTGTGGCTAGCTGATGACGGCTAATGAGCCTGAAATAACTATACTAGTCTCCCACTTAATTTTTTAACTCTTTGTCTGCGAAAAGAAATCTGAATTTGTAATGTATCGCAGTAGCAACTTGAGCCTGCTTAATGCCCTTAGTATGGGGGGCGGCAAGGCAAAAGTGATTATAAAAAAAATAGAACTGCAGTATAGCAGTCAAAAAAATGCCAAGGTGCAATCAATCAGACCGGTCTGTCTGAAAATCTATCTATCTATCTATCTATCTATCTATCTATCTATCTATCTATCTATCTATCTATCTATCTATCTATCTACCTACCTACCTACCTACCTACCTACCTACCTACCTACCTACCTACCTACCTACCTATCTATCTATCTATCTATCTAGACGCTTTATAATTCACACAGCACAAAGTGCAAAACCACCGCAAGGCAATATATGCTTTCCACATTGTCCAGTTCTTAAATGTGATCTATAAATTACATAAACTTTAAATAGATGCTCTGCTGTCACCCAGCACAGTCCTTAAAGCAAGTAACACCATACTGCATGAACAAAACAAGTTTTTGATTAAAATTATTTTCTTTTACATGTATGTTACTTCCCTGTTGCAAAACACCTTTTTAAAAAAAAATATTTGAAGCCCCGGTGCTTTTTTTAAACACTGAACTGAATCCCCAGTTCTTCCCACATTTTTTATTTGGAAATTTCAAACCTCTGTATATCCCTTCCTACTAAAAAAATAAAAAATAATTAAAAAAAATAAAATAAAATCTCAAAGTGCTCTCCATGAAGTTTTACTCCAGGCGTCTTCAAACGTGGCCCTTTGATGACTTGTGGACTTCAGCTCCCAGAATTCCTCAGCCAGGCACGTGTGCCTGGCTGAGGAATTCTGGGAGCTGAAGTCCACAAGTCATCAAAGGGCCACATTTGAAAAACCCCGTTCTACTCCATTAACTGTAATGTTATTTATTTTTTGGTTTTTTAACAAACAAAAGTTGGAATTGAGGCACCTAACCACGATCCAGAACTATCTTCAGATCGCTTCTGAGTCCACGCACCTGATCGCTTTCGAGGCGTTGATGATCTCCTTGATCCTTGGCACCCCTAAAGTGATGTTCATGGAGGCCACGCCGGCAAAATGGAAAGTCTTGAGAGTCATCTGCGTGCCGGGCTCCCCGATGCTTTGCGCACAAAGGGCTCCCACTGCTGAGCCAGGCTCCATCTGCGCCCTGAAGGTAACATCAAAAAAACGTTGGTTTCCGTTCCTTCCACAACTTGATGCTGCCTTGAAAACACACCCCAGTTCTGGAAAGATCCAGAGTCACATTCCCTTGTATCAAATGGAGATTCTCAGTGTGATATTCGAGACTCAGCGCTTGCTTGCAGTTGAACCTGCGTGTCCTAAAAACGGACACGAGGTTATCAGTCTTTGGGAAAGGACGATCAAAATGAGGCGCCCGACACAATTTTGTTCCACCGCCTCTGTAATTTTAGAAAGTACCTTTGCAGTGTCTCATTCCTGGTGGTGTAATCCATAACCTGTCCTCCTAAATCTCTATGGAGATTGTGCAGGTCCTGGTTGTCCCAAAGCTGCTTTTTTTCAGGAGACAATTGGACTTTCTCATTTTTCTTTGAAGAGGTTTTGCTTCTTATTCTAGAAGCTTCTTCAGCTCTGATTGGATGGTGGGGAACAGAAGGATTTATACTCCTTGCAGATAGCTGGTGTAATATAAATCCTTCTATCCTCCACCATTTATACTCCTTGCAGACAGCTGGTCGTTTGCCTTCTTTTAGAGAGTTGTTGAGGCAACTTGGAGGTTTACCTGTGTCCTCAAGGTCACCTGAGTTGTGCAAATGGGTGTGGAGCCTTTTTGGAGCTGCTGAAAGGACTTGTGTTGTAGACTGGAGATAGACAGTGTCGTATCCTTCCCCCTCTGTTGAGAAAGGGGACCACTTGTTTGAAAGAGGGGTCAAAGAGGCCACCTAGGTCAAAACTAAACAGCTCTCTCTCAATAGAGGGGAAGGGATACAACATCATCTATCTCCAATCTACAACAGAGTCCTTTTAGCAGCTCCAAAAAGGCTCCACACCCATGTCCACCACCCAGGTGACCGTGAGGACACAGGTAAGCCCTCCAGATGTCCTCAAGGACTCTCTAAAAGAATGCAAATGACCACCATTCAGTCAGAACTGAAGAAGCTTCTTGGATGAGAAATGAAACATCTTCAAGGAAAAACAAGAAAGCCCAGTTGCTTTTTTGACAAAGCTCCTTTGGGATCAACCATGACCTGGATGAGTGAGAATCTCCATAGACACCATTTTTATATTTTAACTTCCTTGTTTAAGTAAGTCCACAGTCCACATTCTTGTTTAAGTGCACACAAAGGGGAAAAGACTCAGAGCTCTGATCTGCTAAGGACCCTGGGTCAGGCTTAATGCAAGTTGCTCAAATATCTACAATGTTGTTGTTAGCTGCGAAGTCGTGTCCGACCCATCATGACACAATGGACAGCATTCCTCCAGGCCTTCCTGTCTTCTACCATCTTCTGGAGTCCATTGAAGCTCACGCCTCCTGCTTCAGTGACTCCATCCAGCCACCTCATTCTCTGTCGTCCCCTTCTTCTATTGTCCTCAATCCTTCCCAGCATTAGGCTCTTCTCCAGGAAGTCTTTCCTTCTCATTAGGTGGCCAAAGTACTTGAGTTTCAACTTCAGGATCTGGCCTTCTAAAGAGCAGTCGGGGTTGATCTCCTCTAGGACTGACAGGTTTGATCGCCTTGCAGTCCAAGGGACTCGCAGGAGTCTTCTCCAGCACCAATAGCTGTTCATTATTTGGCTATTTATAGATATATATATATATATATTTAGCAGAATTAGAGAAGCAACCTACAACCTAGAGGAGAAACAAGCCTTCTTGCCTTCAGAAATTGTGAATGCTCCAACACTGGAGGTTTTTAAGAAGAAACTGGACAGTCATTTGTCCGGAATGGTCTAGGGCAGGGGTAGGCAACCTTGGCTCTTTCATGACTCGTGGACTTCAACTCCCAGAATTCCTGAGCCAGCCAAGCTGAGGGGAAAGGGAGAGTTTCCAAGCTGAGCCATGCTGGCTCAGGAATTCTGGGAGTTGAAGTCCATGAGTCATAAAAGAGCCAAGGTTGCCTACCCCTGCTCTAGGAGGCTCACCGCTTAGAACAGGAGGACTTAGGGACAGAGTAGGCAACCTTGGCTCTTTATGACTTGTGGACTTCAACTCCCAGAATTCCTGAGCCAGCCTGGCTCAGCTTGGAAACCTCTCCCTTTCCCCTCAGCATGGCTGGCTCAGGAATTCTGGGAGTTGAAGTCCATGAGTCATGAAAGAGCCAAGGTTGCCTACCCCTGGTCTAGGGTCTGCTGCTCCCTTCCAACTGTTATTCTGTCTGGTTGGGTCAAATCCATCATACTCCAACTTTGTTATTCTACGAGGAAGCCATTTCTCTCGAATGACATTTCTTAACCACAATAGAGGGAAGCTAATGCCCCAGAGTATCTTTAGCAAGAGACCTTTTGCAGCAAAGCAAACAGGAGATTCGGATGACAGCTGTCACCATCCATTAAATCCCAATGAAAATACTTGAAGGCAGGCGGGACCTTTGCTGAATCAAATCAAATCGAATCACAGATCAATGATAGCCCCAAGACTAGCATCCTCCTTTTTTTTTTTTTTTTAAGGACAAACTCATGCATCGGAAATAATCTTTTTTTTTTCCTCCCCTACCTCATATACTTCTCTCTGCAGATCTCCAGAAACTTCTCCAATTGGGTTGGAGTGATTCGGTCCAACTGGTATAACACGTAGGGCTAAAGGGAATGAAATGCCACGACAATTAGAAATATATTCAATACGGCAGTGAATAATAATAATAATAACTTTATTGTCATCGTATGTGTATACACAGTGTACACATGCAACGAAATTTACATGACACCCAAAGACCAGGTCCCACACACATAATCCCCAAACACATTCCCACCCACTCCAATTCCCCACCCCTAAGACCACCCAAACATCCACCCAACAGACCAAATAATACTGTCCAACAGTTCAATGATGGTGGCCCTTTAGTTCATTGTTGAGTGCATTTATAGCTCTGGGATAAAAACTATTCAGAAAACGGGTGGTCCGAGTTTTAATTGTTCTGTATCTTCTGTCAGAAGGCAACAGTCCAAAGAGATTGTAAGCAGGATGGGAAGAGTCCCTGAGAATGTTATACAACTTTCTCAAACAACGAGATTCGAAGATGTTGTCCAGGGCTGGTAGCTGAAATCCGATAATATTCTGGGCAGTTTTAATGATTCTCTGTAGAGCTTTTTTGTCCCCTACACCAATTGTCCCCTAATTGGTGTTGTGTTCTTTGCCTAGGGCTCAAAGGGGCACCAAATCTCTTGTTCTTCCTCAGGAGCTTTGAACAAGGGGCCAACTTGTCTTCCAAAGCCCCTGAAGGCAGGACAAGAAGCAACGGATGGGAACTCATCAAGGAGAGAAGCAACCTGGAACTAAGGAGGAATTTCCTGACAGTGAGATCTTGGAAGTCTTCCAGTCCAACCCCCTGCTCAGGCAGGAACCCGTATACCATTTCTGACAAATGGCTGTCCAATCTCTTCTTGAAAGACTCCAGTGATGAAGCATTCACAACTTCTGGAGGCAGGTTGTTCCACTGATTAATTGTTCTCACTGTCAGGAAATTCCTCCTTAGTTCTAGGTTGCTTCTCTCCTGGATTAGTTTCCATCCGTTGCTTCTTGTCCTCCCTTTCAGATGCTTTGGAGAATAGCTTGACTCCCTCTTCTTTGGGGCAGCCCCTGAGATACTGAAAGGCTGCTTATCATGTGCCCCCTCGTCCTTCTCTTCATTTCCTCCAGTTCTCTTCATGCTAAACCCCCTGAAAGCCACCGACATACAATCGGGCACATCCAGAGAATTTAAGATGGAAGAGGGAAATTCAGTATTAAAAGCACCTGGATTCAGACCACCTGGATTCATTCAAGCTGTGAGTTCCCCTTTTCCATCGCCCAAACTATACATCCCAAACCACAGAACGCGCCCATTCTGCGGACTACCTCTGTCGTGCCGTTGTCGTTAATGCCGTACTTGTCCCGGGTTTTCTTGATCTTTTCCGACAAGCTTTTGATGAATTTTTTAATTTCCTGCAATAAAGAATTCACGTGGTTTCAGCTCTGTGCTTCGTTTCTGCCCGTTAGTGATGTAAGGCCACCAGCAGCTTTGACATTTAACAGTACTTTATGTAAGTGGTTAGGAGAAAAAAGACCCCCCCCCCAAAAAAAATGGAAGTCAAACTCAAACCCTGCAGACTTTCTAAGGCAATGCAGTTGTCTTGCCGACAATATAGAAGTGGTTTGCCACTGCTTATGACTCTTGAATAGAATTTCTTTTCTACTTCCCAATTATGACTACGTCCTTGTGAGATGGTAGTCTCTCATCCAAGTACTTCCAGGGCTGACCCTGCTTAGCTTCTTAGTCCTCAGTCAAGCCAGTGAAGTGCTGCCACCTACTGGGCCATCCATAAAAAAAAAGAATTAAAAAGTTGACTGCATTTCACACCACCATTCAAAAACTGCTCAGCAAGCGGAAATAAAATATTATAGAATCAGGACCAGAAAAGAGCTGGAAGGGACCTTGGAGGTCTTCTAGTCCAGCCCCCTTAGAATTGTCTTCTCTTACTGTTTGAAAAAGGTAGAAAATGCCAAAACAAGAGAAGACACTTATAAGGAAAAACAGAAAAAGAAAAGAAAATGGGAAAAAAAGTAAAACTAAAAGAAGAAAAAAGAAAAAGAAATAGAAAAAAAAAGACAAAGACAAAGAAATAGAAATTGAAAAACAGAAAAAGAAAAGGTAATGGGAAAGAGAGAGGCAGAAGGAAAACAAAAAGAAGTTCCTGTTTGAGGAACAACACAACACTCTTGTAGCCTTGTTAGCATGCTTGTTGTTTTAGTGTGTTGGGAACGGGGCCCAGGCACTCCTCAAGCAGGTTCTTGCTTTGAAACGGGAGACTCGGCGAGCAATCAGATAATATTTAGAACAGAAAAAAAAATATACATTTTGCAAAGACCATACAGGAAAGGCTTTCGGGAACGGGAGAATTCTCTCTCTCTCTCTGAGGCGAGAGTCACACAACGACTGGAGCAGGAAACAAACTGAACAACGTTGTCAGCCTCCTTGAACTCAAACAGGATTTTCTGCTGAACAAACATGCACGGGGCAAGATTCTGTAAACAGCCAAGCAATCAGACCGATTTTAAAGAGTCACCAAAAAAGAAAGAGGCACTCCAAGCAGTTAAGACTTGAAATTTTAGTTGGAAAAGCCATATTAATGTGTATCTCAATTTAGACTTCACACGGAAAGTGTGTCGCTCCTGGAAAAGCAGTTTTGTGGCTGGAATAATGGAGACAGGATGGAAAACTGGGACAGAGAGCTACAGAACGAAGCCGGCAACTTAGTGGCATCTTCAATTTTGTTTATTCGGGAACAGCACACGCGTGGAGATAGACGTTGAGGTGTGACTTCATTGTACATTTTTAGGAGTTACAATTAAAAGTTTGGGGTTTATTTACTGACTTCTTAAATGTCTCGATGGTGCTTTCCCCCCCCCCCAAAAAAAGGCAATAGAACTTTCTTCCTTTCCCCCCCCCCCCTTGAAAACATTGGAATAAAAAGCGAAATGTTTTCAAGGGGGAAAAAAGCACCTTTGGGACAACCGTCATCTGGATGATGGAGAATCTCCATAGATTTCCTGAATATCTCCTAAATAAAATTCTGTCTCTTTCAATGAAGCAGTGCATTAAGAGCCTCGGCATAATCTGTGCACAGTCCACACAGCACCCCCCCCCGCACACACACGCACGCACACACACATGCGTCAATTACCTTATTATGGGCCACATAGCCACTTTCAGTTAAAGCCTTCAAGAACGGACAGGAAAAAGCAAAGTAGTGTGTTTTGCTGTTGTTGAAGTTAACGCTTCTCAACTTTTACAAAACGAACAAACAAGCGTGTTTTTGCAACTTAGTTTAGTTTTGGTTTTTTCTTTTGTTTTTTGGCTTTTGAAACAAACGTCCAGTTTTGGATATCGACATCACGTTCAGGCAAAGGACTCTAAAACAAATAAAGTCCTCTCCTGTCTTAAAAGTGGAAGATTTAGGAATCTTTTATCGGTTCCGGGGTTGACAAAACAAGCAATTTCTGAGAAGATTTGGGAAACAAGGGAAAGGAAGATGCCAACTTACATTATTAACCCCAAGTCCGTTTATTGAATAATCAAGATGAGAATAGAAGGACATTCATTTTGAGTTCTAAAGAGGGCCACGCCTTTTATGAAAAAAAAAAGATCTTTGGGGGGAAAAGGGGATCGTAATAAAAGGATACCTGCAGGAAGCTGTCCTGGCAACAAACGAACTCGTTCTTCTTCATGATGGATTCAGCCGTCAGCACCAATTCGTTTTTACTCAGCGCGGGCTCACTCCGGCTGGGATACACGGCCTAAAGCCACAGAACCGCACACAGATCAATTTACAGCGCTATTTTACGTCTGGGTTCCTTAGAAAAATTCAATATTCCCTACGAATGAACGTGGCTCAGCGTTCTTGTGCAAATATAACCATCTGATGCAAATGATAATAATAATAATAATAATCCTGACCCAGGTCCTTCAAAGAGCTTTGCTGCTGCTGTTTGATTCTTTCTGAAAGCGGTTTCCTAAAACAACATCGGATAAAAACCTTGCAAGATTTAAGAATCTATTTGCTGTTTGATATGTACCGATGTTGTACCTGGAGCAAATTACTTTCGTTTTCTGTGCAGACTCTTTAGGCAGACAGGCGAGACACCAGAATATTAATTTATAGCAAACAGAATATTAATTTATAGCAAACAGCACTCCTTATTAGCACTGATGAAGTTACTTAGTTAGGGTAATGAAACGTCTGCAAGAAAACAAGCAAATGCAAGTAAACAAGCAAGCTGAGCCGAGGTGGTGCAGCAGTTAAAGTGCAGTACTGCAGGCCACTTTAGCTGACTCTGTTCAGCAGGTCAGCGGTTCAAATCTCACCGGCTCAAGGTTGACTCAGCCTTCCATCCTTCCGGGGTAGGTAAAATGAGGACCCAGATTGTTGGGGGCAATGTAAATATATATATACATTGCTTACTGGTGTACACCGCTTAGAGAGTGCTTGCACTTAAAGCGGTATATAAGTCTCATAAATAAATAAATAAATAAGCTCAGAGAGCACCAAGGATCCCACAGTCCTCTCCTCCTCCTCCTCCTCCCCATAACCCACACTCTCTTCTAGCACTGATCATATTACCTAGTTAGGGTAATAAAACGTCTGCAAGAAAACAAGCAAGCTCAGAGAGCACCCAGGACCCCTGATTTAAGAATCTTGCAGGGCATTTCAGCTGCAGAATCCATGAAACTATGACGGGGACAATCAGTATTTAAGTCCAAGGCCTTCATGGTTTGGTGGACATCCAGAAGACTGTTCTTCTTCAGAAAAGATGCCCTGGGGCTAAGACTTACTCTGACATTGTCCAGAACGCGCTTGAACTCCAAGGGTTCGTCCTTTCCTTCCATGGCTGCAGGATCCAAGCCGTCCCCACCGTAAATGAACTGTATAATGTCCCCCGTTGAACTCCGGACGGTCAAGTCATACTGAGAACAAAGATCTTCAAGGGATTTCACCAATCGTCTCTGGGAGAAGATGGAGAAAGAGCCTCTTCAGGACACAGTTACAGACGTGGAATGTTAGTCAAGATGGGCAGGGTAACCAGTTCCCACTAACTACCATAAAAGGACTTGAGGTCTACTTCCTGTTTTTGAATAGCTAGGAGAATGTTTATTCAGTTATACAGCTAAATAGAAAATAAAAATATCTATGTATCTATTATGTATGTATGTATGTATGTATCTACCTACCTACCCATTATCTATCTATCTATCTATCTATCTATCTATCTATCTATCCATCTATCATCTATTTATTTATCTATCCATCCATCCATCCATCCATCATCTATGTATTTATTTATCCATCCTATGTATCTATGTATCTATCTATCTATTTATCTATATCTATCTATCTATCTATCTATCTATCTATCTATCTATCTATCTATCTATCTGGAAATACATTGTGCATTTGTGATTTATACCAAGAGGTCTACTAAACTGAAATGTAATTATAAAGATAACCTTCTATTCAAGTTCCTTAAGGGACCAAAGTTATTAAGTAACACCCAGGGTTTTGTTAATTAGGCTGCTTGTAATTATTATTTTTTTAATCAAGGTCTCAGAAAACTTTAATTAGCATTATGTAGGCCATAGGAACTTCCAGGAAAAATTAACTTGAGTGTCCCCATTAAATAAATAAAAAAGATCGAAAGCTAACTAAGTCCAGGTAGATGACATAATCATCCCTGAACAAGTTATGGCGGTTGTTTCTTATCCATCCATCCATCCACAGCAAAGAACTGGATATAACAGTTTGTTCTTTCCATATTTCTTTTCTTTCTTTACCCTCAGACCCAAAACCAGAATGGAGACGAGAGACTGGAATTTGTTGGCAGGGGAAAAAAAATCCTTGACTTAAAGGAGAATAAACCCTTCTAGTTGGCTATCCAGATAGTTCTCCTATAGACAAGAGCCTCCAGTTACCTGCATGTATCCTGTTTCAGCTGTTTTTACAGCTGTATCAACAAGGCCTTCCCGTCCCGCCATGGTGTGGAAGAAAAATTCAGTGGGTGTCAACCCGGAATAGAAGCTGTTGGCAACAAAACCTTTAGCGGCTGGAAGCTGAAAGAGGAAAAGACTTTTGAAATATATTGCTGTAGGGTTTACTTCCACGGTCAGCCTGGCTAATATAATAGTACTGGTGGGTATAGAGTCAAATTGCCCTTTGGCTGTTAAGCACATCGGTCTAGGTTTTCCCACGAGGATCAAATCGGAAGGCTTCTGGTGGCGTATAACTTGGAAGAGGGACAAAATCTACCGTATTTTACGGTGTATAAGACGACTTTCTAAACTCTGAAAATCTTCTCAAAAGTCAGAGGTCGTCTTATACGCAGGAATATACGGGTAGCTGTTCTCTGAATTTAAAACCAATCTGCCCCCTAGTGGCCAGCCCTATTTTTTTTTTTTACAGAAATAAGCACTAACAGGACAAAGCTTTCTAGCAGCAAAGGAGTTCCTATTGTGCTCATCTATAAACAGAAATTCAATATTGTACTGTATTTTCTGGCGTATAAGATGACTTTCTAAACCCTGAAAATCTTCTCAAAAGTTGGGGGTCGTCTTATACGCCTAGTCGCCTTATACGCCAGAATATACGGGTAATTCAAAGGACCCACGGTTGTAATCAGAATTGGTAAGCTATCCAATATCTTTGCCTAGCCTCGTGAATTTTTCGGAAACGCCACATGAACAGTGTGTATAATCTACAGGAAGCACCAGCTGGATCAAAAGCCCACCTTCATCATATCTTAGATTTGAACCCATACTGCCTCGTTCCACAATACTGCCGAAGTCCTATCTAAGTCTCAGGCTCCTTACCTTGGAATGCTTCTCAAAATGAGGCAAGGATCGATTTTCAAAGCCATCGGGCACCCGTGAGCCACTGATAGCTTGTTGACCTACACAAGCAATCATCTGGGATATATTGATAAAGGATCCTATGGGGGGGGGGGAAGAGAAAATGACAACAGGAAAGGTCAGCAGCCTCTTTCCCTCGTGACCGAAAGCAACAAGTTATCACACTGTTCCCCCTACTCTACTACGATAAGTAAAGCATCAAAAGTCTATAGAGAAAGCTTGTTTCATGATCCTACAATGTTGCACTAATTATAAATAAGTGCTTCTGGTGAGGATCTTAGCCTCTAATTGTGACCACACCAGCTGAGCTTCAAAACAAAACGAAAACAAAATATGGCCAAGTCTGGTTAATGGTTAAGGAGCCTACCAAAAAAAATCTCAGGGTTTTAGGGCGAACTGTGTAGGAGAAGAGCAGGCAAAGCTGGGGGAGGAGGCAGAGTTAAACATGTCATTAGCTCAGAGTCCTGATGTTGCCTAAATAATCCAAGTTCAACCCCTTTGAATTCCGTTGACCCCTACTTGGCACCAATTTAGTGTTTAATTTTAGTTAACTAGATCAGGGCTCCTCAACCGTGGCAACTTTAAAACTTGTGGACTTCAACTCCCAGAATTCCTCAGCCAGCAAAGATGGGAGTTGAAGTCCACAAGTCTTAAAGTTGCCAACGTTGAGGACCCTGAACTAGATTCTTGTGAATAGGCTTAATTAAATCTTCCGTGCTGCAACTTAACTTAGGAGCCGCGGTGGCACAGTGGTTAGAGAATGCAGTATTGCAGGCTAATTCACTGCTCACTGTCAGGAGTTCAATCCTGACCGGCTGAAGGTTGACTCAGCCTCCCATCCTTCCGAGATCGGTAAAAATGTATATGTATCTCCCAGCTGAATTTCCATCTCTCCATCAAAATGGTCAACCCAGTTCCTCCAAGTAGATAAAGCATAACTGTCCGTGCTACCGGCCATGGCTATGGCCAACGTTACACCTGGCTTTAGAATGGAGCTCCAACTTCTTTTCATATCAATAGGAAGAATTTCAACCAATAAAACAGAGCTATCCACTTGCGGTCCACTTTCCAACTTAGACTAGACCAGGGATAGGCAACCTTGGCTCTTTTATGACTCGTGGACTTCAACTTCTAGAATTCCTGAGCCAGCCGTGCTGGAATTCTGGGAGTTGAAGTCCACGAGTCATAAAAGAGCAAGGTTGCCTACCCCTGAACTAGACTGATTTCTCTTAGCTAGAACTTTGCCTCTGCATGGATGCCACCAACTCCTGCTGCTGGGAACGAGACAATAATTATACCTAAGCAGAATCTATTTATTGGTCACAGAGATAGGTGCTAATTTGAAGGATCAACCCTACCTTTTGACCCACACACAGCCATTGTGAGGGGGCTGTTACTCTTGTCGAGTTCTCTGAGGCAGGCACTGCCAGCATGGTCTCGGATAACGGACAGCTCCTTCAGAATCAGGGCCTAGCAAACAGACTCAATTAACCAGCCAGGCTTGCAAGAATTGGACCATTTTCATTTCACTTATTCGAATCGGACGCTGACATTATTCTTGAGGTAGCAGCCCAATATGTATTGTTTGGAATTGAATGAAAATGCCGCACAATTATGGACAAAAAGATTTAATTAAAGAGCCGAGGTGGCGCAGCAGTTAGAGTGCAGTACTGCAGGCCACTTTAGCTGACTGTGTTCAGCAGGTCAGCAGTTCAAATCTCACCGGCTCAAGGTTGACTCAGCCTTCCATCCTTCCGGGGTAGGTAAAATGAGGACCCAGATTGTTGGGGGCAATGTAACTATATATATACATTGCTTACTGGTGTACACCGCTTAGAGAGTGCTTGCACTTAAAGCGGTATATAAGTCTCATAAATAAATAAATAAATAAATAATTGCTCTGAATTTTCCCAGTGGGTAAGACAGTGAGTGATTACTAATGGTAAGAAATCTGTCCTGCAGGGTTTCTTTCTGAACTAAAAGAAAACATAGCTTCTTTGGCAAGGGGAATCAAGAGGAGTGGCCTCATTCTTCAATTTCAAATCATAATAAATATGAATTGTAATGGCTATGTCGCGCCCATTGCAGACTTTACGATGCTGCTAAAGGTAAAACTGCTCCAACACTGGAGGTTTTTAAGAAGAGATTGGGGAACCATTTGTCTGAAATGGCCTGAGCAGGGGGTTGGACTAGAAGACCTCCAAGGTCCCTTCCAACTTTATTATTATTATTATTATTATTATTATTATTATTATTGTTGTTGTTGTTGTTGTTGTTGTTGTTGTTATTGTTATTATTGTTATTATTATTATGGATCATCGCACAGTCAGCCAGATGTTCAGACTGGATTTGGCATTTTTGTCTATCGAGTCCTTACCCAGGACCTGGGATAGGCAGATGTGGATGTTTGATGGTATTACAGATATCGTCGCAGGATGGAAGCAGTTCCTAATAAGGCCGCCTTTCACAATTGACTGATGGTGAATTTATTATTATTATTGTTGTTGTTGTTTATTGTTGTTTTGTTATTTTATTTGCTGGATCCCATGTCTGAACTTGACATGAACATTACTCATTAATTTATACACTGCTTCCTTCCTTAGTTATTTTTGTTATTTTTGATGTTAATATTCATCACTTTAATATTTTAAACAGTTTTGCATTGTTAGTTTTTATCTTACTGGAAGTCAGCAAGGGGCCGCTTGAGGGCGCGATGGGCGGCCGATACGTTTAATAAAAGAATAAATAAAAAGAATAAATAAAATAAATAAAAATGGGATTATGACTAACCTCTAGTGTCTCCTCTGCTGTGCAGCCAGGCTGCTGCTGTAGCTTACCAGTCTTCAAGGCTTCGATGTATTCATCACATTTCTTGTAGCCAGCATTCAGAAGTTCATATTTTGCCTTCAGCAAGCCTTGCCCGGGAGTGACATCCCCAATTCCAATGGAAAATCCCCGATTAGCTAGGCGGTTGCAAAGAAAGATCAAATGTCTATATCAGCACACTGCAGGAAAAGACAACAATTTACATGAGATGATCATGAGATGATCCTTTGGTTGGCTGTGGCTTCCAAGAATTTCACTGGGTCACCCTATTCTGACAAATAGTTTAGTTTAATGTCTAGTTTAATGAAGAGAAGGACGAGGGGGACATGATAGCAGGGTTGCACTATCTCAGGGGTTGCCCCAAAGAAGAGGGAGTCAAGCTCTTCTCCAAAGCACCTGAAGGCAGGACAAGAACCAACGGATGGAAACTAATCAAGGACAACTCCATCATCATCTGGGCTGTTTACATAAAGCCATAATGTGATTTTGGCTTAGTGTGCTGTATAAAACCAACCGATTCTGGCTTGATCAACCAATCATGATTATAAAGGCTTTGTTCAAGGCAATGGGTTAAACTCAGCCTTCGTGTTTTAAAGAAGAAGGATATGTCTAGTTTCATTCTTCAATTGCATTCATATTACTTTTTTTGGCTTTTATTTTGGCAGGTAATGGAATTACAACTTGTAAAGTCTTCCAGGGGGGCAGATACTCTATTTGGTGTAGAATTTTCCTGGAGATGTTCCAAGATCAGAATTCTACTGCTGAAGAGCTTTGTGAGCAATATCAGAAGAATGAAAATGATTTAGGCCTCTTAAGCCAAAAAGAAAAGGAACACAAGAGTAACAATACAAAGAAATACAAGTGGTGAGATGATTCCAATATTTGAGGGGCTGCCCCAAAGAAGAGGGGGTCAAGCTATTTCTCCAAAGCCCCTGAAGGCAAGACAAGAAGCAACGGATGGAAACTCATCCAGGAGAGAAGCAACCTAGAACTAAGGAGAAATTTCATGACAGTGAGAACAATTAACCAGTGGAACCACCTGCCTCCAGAAGCGGTGAATGCTCCAACACTGGAAGTTTTTAAGAAGAGACTGGACAGCCATTTATCTGAAATGGCATAGGGTTTCCTGCCTGACCAGCGGGTTGGACTAGATGACCTCCAAGGTCCTTTCCAACTCTGTCATTAAAAGATCACTGCTTTAGTTGTTCCTCGCTCTCAGCATAAGATCTTTATTTTGCTGCGGTGCAAGGGCACAGAACAGGTACCCTGGAAAAGTCTGCACAACAATTTGTGTCCTTCTCTAACACTCAGTGGGAAATATTGGGCCGATCCAACGTTCTTAAACTAACCTCTTTTACTGTATCACCATGCAGGTAAAAAACCGACAGCGGAAAGAACCAGGGAAAATGAAAAGGTAACATCCATGAAGACGAAAGCCTGGTTCAAGATACTTACACAGGTAGACAGGAGCAAGTCTGGCTAATCTTGACATAGCATCAGCTGCCTCCACTTGGCCCCAGTCTCTCAGCAAAATGTAGAATATATTGTTCTTGGATCCGGATCCCAGCGTTCCTTTGTCCATGCTGCCGGACATCAACTCGCTGTTGTGGATTGCGACATCTGAAACACAAATGCATTCAGTGGGCCAGCTAAACATGCCACAGGAGGCAGCTTTTTATCCTTCTTTCTCCGGCTGGGCCACGTTCTTAGTATAATTCCAAAAAGGGGCTTTGGAGCATAGAAAGAGAGCACTTGTCCGCCACTCTTAAAGGCAGCTGCATCTTTACGGTATTCTGCAGCAGCTGCCAGAGCCTGGGAGAAGACATGGCTACTTTAAAAGGTTCATTACGTCCAGGTAGCAATTTTTGACCTTTTGTTATAGACACTGTGGCACACATTTGGAATCAAATTAAAAAAGGCTGCACAACCTTTTTAGTAATAGCACTAGCAATAGCACTTAGACTTATATACCGCTTCACGGTGCTTTACAGCTCTAAGCACTGTACAGGGTCTGTTCTGTATTCTATTCTTTGTTCTATTCTATTCCATTCTGCATCTATTCTATTCTATTCTATTCTATTCTATTCTATTCTATTCTATTCTATTCTATTCTATTCTATTCTATTCTATTCTACTCTATTCCGTTCCATTCCATTCTTCATTCTATTCCATTCTGTATCTATTCGTATCTATTCTGCATCTATTCTATTCTATTCTATTCTATTCTATTTCTAATTCTATTCCATTCTTATTCCTATTCTATTCTATTCTATTCTATTCTACTCTACTCTACTCTTATTCTATTCCTGTTTTTCGCAGCTTGCAAAAAAGTCTGTGACTAAAATGAACAGCAAAATCTTTTCAAGAAATCCTAGCAATCAATGATCAACAACAACAAATCAGGGGAGCCGTACTACTTACAGGAGTCGTTACTGCACAAATCTTCTCCTTTACCACAGTATTGTTTGCCTTTGGTTCTGAGATTGGCCTTGACTGGGCAACTGTCCCCGGGCTTCAGAATGATGCTAAAGACCTGTTTTCCTGTCCACAGGGTGACCGGCTTTACAAAAAAAAAAGAGGTCAAGAAGAAAGGATTATAAATAGGGATGTGGAAGAATGCTCTCCAGAGGCTAGTTCTGAGGAGGATGAGCTGGCAGCTGAGAGCTATGAGAGAGAGGAGTGGAGGGGCGCAACCAGATGAGCAGCTGGCTGAGCCAGAGACAGGAGAGGCCCAACTGCAGCTGGGAAGCCCAAAGGCCTCGAGTGGAGAGGGCACACAGTTGCAGCTGGCCAGAAGAGATGAAGAACTACTTCCGCCTCCAGATCCGAAAGGCTAAGAGGAGGCAGGCGCAAAGGTCAGCCAGGCTGCTCGCGAGGAGGCAGCCTCACCTCTCTTGATGAGCTGCACCAAGAAGCAGTTATTTAGCAAAGGGAGCAAAATGATGCTGGGAACATGTTCATTTCCTCGCTGTGTGTTCTTGCCTCCAATTTTGGATTGTGTCTCCTCAGCTGGGGCCTTGGTCTTGTCTTTGCCCTGTGGATTTGCCTTGGCCTCCTCCATCCCTTTCTCCCTTGTCCCTCCTCTCTCCCTCCATCCCTCTGTCCCTTTTTCTCTCTCCTCTGTCCCTCCCTCTCTTGTCCTCCCTCTCTCCCTTTATCCCTCTCATCCTGCCCCTTTTTCTCCCTCCCTTCCTTCGTTTCTCCCTGTCCATCCGTTTTTTCCTCCCATTCCTCCCTCACTCTTTCTCACTCCGCCTCCCTCGGTCCTCCCTCCCTTTCCCTGTATCCCTCCCTTCCTCTCTCTCTCTTCCTCTCCCTCTGTCCCTCCCTCATCCTCTCCCTCTCTCTGCCGGACCTTAAGAATTGCTGGAGATGGGAGGCGAACTTTCACTTTTTCATCCTTGCCCACCAGAATAGAGGCGATCAACTGACACGCTTTCGCTCGGTCAAAGAAAGTGTCCTTTAGCGTGAGGAGATAAGCACCTAAAGTATGAAATTAAAAAAAAAAATTCCACAACAAAACGCAGAAAGAAAGAAAGAAAGAAAGAAAGAAAGAAAGAAAGAAAGAAAGAAAGAAAGAAAGAAAGAAAGAAAGAAAGAAAAAGCATTAAGCCTGGTGCATTTTATCAGCTCTCAGGTTTTTATCCCATGACACTGCGCAGAACAGGGATGCAAAACAATCCCCAAATAAAAACCGATGTATTTATTTTATAAAGATAATTTACACGGTACGAAGACAAAAGTGCAAAAAATGTTATTAAAGAGATGCAAAATATTTCATCCTCTGGCACTTTCCTTCTTTATACGGGCAAATTTTCTTTCACCTTTATAAAATTGCAAAGACTAGGTCAAAAGCTGAGAGTTTTAAGGAAAACTTAAAAAATAAAAATAAAAAAGTGGGGTCCAATGCTGCACGAAACTATTTCAGACATACTTCGATACCAAACTTCTCAACAGAAAAAAAACAAAACCCTGTGACATTGTATTAATTTTTTAATTTAGGAGGAAATGTTATTTCAATTAGCAAAAGACTCTCAACATTCTCCTAACAATAAGTTTCCTAAAAGGCTCAGGTGAAAATAAAAATAAAAATAAAAAAAAGGGATATTAGTTTCTGTTTTTCCCCTCAGGCCTTTTTTTTTTTTTTTTGGTTTTGTTTTGTTTTGCTAAACATTGGAAAAATGAACCGTTTGGAAATACCAAAATAAAATGTTCCCATTATGCCCCAAATTTTTACAAAGACGTATCTGAGACTGAAGTTAATAAAATGTGACTCCTATTGGTAATATGATTTAAAATGCAAACCTGTCAGAAAATCTTGAATGGCAGCAATCAGCGGTTCCCCATTCCTCGGAGTTACCAAGTTTGCTTTGGTCTGAGAAAAGAAAATATATATATAATTTCCATACTAGATTTCCTCCCAGAAAAGGAAATTGATCAGATCAGATCGTGCATATCCTCACATTTGAAGCTAATTACTTAATTGTCATGGTTCAAGTATATACTGTAAGATATACTTGAGATAAGGGGATTAATTGTCCTCGCTGTCAGGAAATTTCTCCTTATTTCTAAGTTGCTTCTCTCCTGGATGAGTCTCCATCCGTCGCTTCTTGTCCTGCCTTCTGGTGCTTTGGAGAATAGCTTGACTGCCTCTTCTTTGGGGCAACCCCTGAGATATTGGAACACTGCTATCAAGTCCCCCCCCTCGTCCTTCTCTTCATTAAACTAGACATAACCAATTCCAGCAACCGTTCTTTATATGTTTTAGCCTCCAGTTTCTGATCATCTTTGTTGCTCTTCTCTGCACTCCCCCCCCCCGCCCCAAGGTCTCAACATCTTTTTTGTATCGTGACCAAACCTGAGTTGACTGGCTTCATTTGACTGGCTTCATCTGCAATTGTGCAGATCAATTTGCACCACCGGAAAAAACCTTGTCTCTATGGAGATTCTCAGTAGAAGCATCTTAACTCGATTCTCTCTTTCAACTTCCTTGGTGGTGCTCATAGTCTCTCAGGACCAAAGTGGACGTAACGGAACCAACCTCATTGGTATCTAGGGAGGTTCTCCATCATCCAGGTTGTCCCAAAGATGCTTTTTCCAGGAGGCAACTGGACTTTGTTTTTCCTTTGAAGATGTTTCGCTTCTCGTCCAAGAAGCTTCTTCAACTCTGACTGGATGGTGGGGAAATGGAAGGATTTATACTCCTTGCAGATGGCTGGTCATTTGCATCCTTTTAGAGTCGTTGAGGCCATTTTGAAGGTGTCCTCAGGGTCATCTGAGTGTGCAAATGGGTGTGGAGCCTTCTCAGCAGCAGGATGTTTTCTGCCCTGGGTCCCTGTTGGGGATGAGTCTGTGCTGTCTGAATCTCAAATGGGAAGCGCAAATGGTTCCTGAATCTCAAATGGGAAGCGCAAATGGTTCCTGTAGTACTCAGACAACTTTGAGAACACAGGAAAACCCCAAGTGGCCTCAACGACGCTCTGAAATAATGCAAACGACCGGCTGTCTGCAAGGAGTATAAATCCTTCCTACCATCCAGTCAGGGCGGAAGAAGCTCCCCTGATGAGGAGCGAAACTTCTTCAAAGAAAAAAAAAAGTGCAGTTGCCTCCTGAAAAATAATAATAATAAAAAAGCACCGTTGGGGCCCTGACAAAGCCTAAACTCATGAAGGCGGTAACTAATCAGGAGAACTCCATAGCAAATCTCTCAAGTCTCTTCTGTGGCTACTCCAGCGAGATCAGAGGCCCACTTACCCCCATGAGGACCAGCGCTTCAGCTTTCGCTTCTTCGGTTTGAGGGAGGTGAAGATTCATCTCGTCGCCATCAAAATCGGCGTTGTACGGCGTGCAAACACATTCGTTGAACCGAAAAGTGCGGTGAGGTTTTACCCTAGCCTGGAACACACCATCGAACCAAGGTAAGGAAGAGGGGAAAATAAATACTCAAAAGGATTTCTAAATATACCAACAGGAATAATGGGAACGGACTGTCTTTCTGGCTTGGAAGAGGGAAGCTTTTAACAAAAAAGAGAACTGACGTTATTTGCTCAGGCGTACGGCAACGCCGTTAAGCGAACCTGGCTTAACGGCGTTGACTCATGGACTGGTCTTCTCAGAAGGTAACGCAAAAGGGGATCACGTGACCCCAGAACCCTGCAACCGTCCTAAGTCCATGCCAGTGGCCAAGCATCTGAATTCTGATCACGTGACCCTGGAGATGCTGCAATGGTCGTAAGCGTGAAGGATGGTTGTAAGTCACTTTTTTGGGGCGTGTTGCAACTTCGGTCACTAAAAGAATGATTCTAAATTCGACCTCTGTGTATACTTGTTAGACGTTCAGCTGTCTGGTTTGGCAACTTAGATTTGGCTCTACTATTTACATAAATTAGGGAACAGTTAATTATAAGTAGTTAACTGTTCCCTAATTTATGTAAATAGTAGAGCCAAATCTAAGTTGCCAAACCAGACAGCTGAACGTCTAACAGAGTTGGAAGGGACCTTGGAGGTCATCTAGTCCAGGGCTTTTCAACCTTTTTCACCCATTGTACCACTTTTAGGATATGGCAACATCCAAGGACCACCAGTCGCCTAGCAAGGTGTCAAAAACTTGATGACCCCCCCCCAAAAAAGGAAAAAAGTGATAAAGTACAGGTAGTCCTCGACTTACAACAGTTCGCTTAGTGACTGTTCGAAGTTACAATGGCATTGAAAAAAGTGCCCCCCCCAAGCCACAGCCGAGCAAGACACCTGCCCGCCTGCGCTCTTCCTCCTGTCCGAGGTTTTCATTGTTGTGAGCATTTCTGTTGAGGATTGGCAGTAGGGATGGGGTGGGGGGGTGTTTGTTTTTTATTCCCCCCATCTGCTGGGTGGTTGCAGCAGGTGTTGGTCACTTCACAAGACCCTGGGACACTGTGACCGTCATAAATATGAATCAGTTGCCAAGCATCTGAATGTAAATCACAAGACCCTGGAGATGCTGCAACATTCCAACTGATCGGCGCTTCTTCTGGGCTCAGCAGAAGCACCAGGATCAGCGCTGAGCTCCAGCTGGAGCCTGGCGCTGATCCTGGCACTTCCACTGAGCCCTGAGAGTCCCGAAGAAGTGCTGATCCTGGCTCTTCCGCTGAGCCCTGACAGCCCTGCAGCTCCAGCCGTCTCTCGCTCAGGCTTGTGCGGTGCTGCCACTGGTTCAGCTCATTCCCCTCCCTCGCTACCACTTTTCTAGGATGGTCGCGTACCACCTGCCAGGTGCCAATGTACCACAGATGGTACCCGTACCACTGGTTGAAACGCCCTGGGCTAGTCCAGCCCCCTGCTCAAGCAGGAGACCCTATACCATTTCAGACAAATGGTTGTCCAGTCTCTTCTTAAAAACCTCCGATGATAGAGCACCCACAACTTCTGGAGGCAAGGAGTTCCACTGATTATTTGCTCTAACTCTCAGGAAATTTCCCCGTCTACAAATTTAGCACAATACTGTGATTAAACAACTTTGTTCCCAAAGCCAACTGCCCAGATTGTGTTTGACGTCCGACACAGACCACCTCTTCTGCCCCAGTCTTCTCCTACTCTTACTTAAACCCACTGGGTCTCATTCCTAAAGACCACCAAACAAGGAGAGGGCTTTAAAAAGCTAAAAGAAATGCCCTTACAATGTGAGCCATAATGCTGAGTTTGTGCAAAGAAGGCTGTCGGTTAAACAAGACGATGTCTCCATCTACCAGGTGCCTCTCTACAATGTCGCCGTATTTCAGCTCCTGTGCCATCCTCTCCCGGTTCCCGTACTTCAAAAACCTAAGCAGGGGGGGGAAGAGAGAAAGAAAGTAGAGAACTTGATTCAAACTCGCACTTGAAGATTGCGAAGCATTGTCTGCTTGGCTTTTAGAAGTTGCTTGATGTTGCATAGATTAACCCAGGGGTCTTCAAACTTGGCCCTTTGATGACTTGTGGACTTCAACTCCCAGAATTCCTCAGCCAGGCACGAATTCTGGGAGTTGAAGTCCACAAGTCATCAAAGGGCCAAGTTTGAAGACCCCTGTCTTAAATCTAACAAACAAAATGGAGGCTGGCTGAGGAATTCTGGGAGCTGAAGTCCACATGTCATCAAAGGGCCAAGTTTGAAGACCCCCGTCTTAAATCTAACAAACAAAATGGAGGCTGGCTGAGGAATTCTGGGAGCTGAAGTCCACAGGTCATCAAAGGGCCAAGTTTGAAGACCCGTCTTAAATCTAACGAACAAAATGGAGGCTGGCTGAGGAATTCTGGGAGCTGAAGTCCACAAGTCATCAAAGGGCCAAGTTTGAAGACCCCTGTCTTACATCTAACAAACAAAATGGAGGCTGGCTGAGGAATTCTGGGAGCTGACATCCACAAGTCATCAAAGGGCCAAGTTTGACCCCTGGGTTAACCTCTCGAGAAATATAGTTCCCTTCTGTGTAAGAACATTTCCAAATAGTAGAAAAATGGATCATTTTTCGTCAATTAACGGTTACCTCTTCCAAACCCCTCAAAAAACAAAACAAAAAAAACCTCGCCCCTTTACACCTCAGAAATGCCTTCTTTATTAATAAAAACGACTCCCTTAAAACTTGTTCTTCATCTAACAAGCAACAGTTGCGCACTCAATTCTTCAGGAAGAGAAAGAGTAACACACTCGGTTGTCCAAAGTGCTGATCCAACAACGTGATCGTTTTTAATGGTGTGGTGAATGGAATTAAATTAAAACTAGACCTGATTTGGAATCCAGTTTTTACATCTGAGGCACATCCCTGCTTTCCTGGAAAAGGATGTTTATGGGGGTTGATTGTACCCATGTTTAAAACAGAAGGGGCCTTTGCAACAGAAATGAAATAAACTGACAGGAAGAAGGCAGCCAGATCGTGTTGAATTACATCCGAGATCCGGATAGAGTTATACATGACTGAAGCAAGGGGACGGCGAAGTAGAAAAATGTCCCTTATGATCAAAGACCGCACCGTTTCATTTGTGTATGTCTCTGCTGGATGAAGTTGGCACCGGGATGAATTTCTGGACCATTTCGAACAAGTTTCCTCATGAAGCCGATGTTGGCTTTGTTTACCTGCAGCAGGAAGAGAGAGAGAGAGAGAGAGAGAGGGAAGGAGGGAGGGAGGGAGGGAGAGAGAGAGAGAGAGAGAGAGAGAGAGAGAGAGAGAGAGAGAGAGAATACACCTTTGAAGCTCCAATGTGTAATGGAGGAAAAAAAAAAAACCTTTATGATGACCTAAAGAACAGGATACATAGAGGATGTCCTGAAGAGTTGGCAAAATAAGATAAACGTGTCAATATTATGTAAAATGTAATAAATAGGTCAAGGCTAATATACGGCATCAACACCACCACCACGACTACTGCCAGACCTGGGACAGGAACTGTCATAATGCTCCCATCGTTACAAAAAATAAATTCTGACTTATTTTAGTCTTGTTGGGTTGCAGTTAGCAGAATAACAGGCGAACAAACTAACTGAGTTGAAAAGTACTTTAGAGGTCCTCTAGTCCAACCCCCTGCTCAGGTAAGAAACCCTATACCATTTCAGACAAATGGCTGTCCAGTCTCTTCTTAAAAGCCTCCAGTGATGGAGCATTCACCGCTTCTGGAGGCAGGTTGTTCCACTGGTTAATTGTTCTAACAGTCAGGAAGTTTCTCCTTAGTTCCAGGTTGCTTCTCTCCTTGATTAGTTTCCATCCATTGCTTCTTGTCCTGCCTTCAGGGGCTTTGGAGAATAGCTTGATTTCCTCTTCTTTGGGGCAGCCCCTGAGATACTGGAAGACTGCTATCCTGTCCCCCCCTTGTCCTTCTCTTCATTAAACTAGACATCCCTTATTCCTGCAACCGTTCTTCCTATGTTATAGCCTCCAGTCTTTTAATTATCATTGTTGCTCTCCTCTGCACTCTTTCCAGAGTCTCAACATCTTTTTTACATCGTGGGGACCAAACCTGGATGCAGGATTCCAAGTGTGGCCTTCCCAAGACGTTGCAAAGCGGTACTAACCCTTCAGGTGATTTTGATCCTATCCCTGTCAATGCAGCCTAGGCGACGTTTCAATTCGAGTCAAAGAAAGGGCGAAATTTTTCATGGAGGGCACCTTGGAGAGAGCTTCTACACCAGTGTTTCCCAAACTTGACAATTTTAAGGCACGTGGACTTCAACTCCCAGAATTCCACAGCCAGCCATTGCTGGCTGTGGAATTCTGGGAGTTGAAGTCCACGTGCCTTAAAATTGTCACGTTTGGGAAACACTGTTCTACACCAAAGGGCCACCACCACAGAGAGTAGGGGAGCAGGTCATTCCTGCTTACCTTCTCGGGAAAGGTGAGAATCTTTGCCACGTGGACAGGTACAGCCACTTCATCAATTCTCAGGTTAGGATCAGGAGAGATAACCGTCCTGCCTGAGAAATCGACTCGCTTTCCAGACAGGTTTCCCCTAAACCGGCCTGAAAAATTAAAAAAAAGGGAAAGAGGGGAAAATGAGATATTGCAAGCCCAGGACGACCTGCACATATGTTACCAGGGTGACTAGAGGTGACAACGAGACTTGGATTAATGGCTTATGGTGGGCCCACAAAGATGGAGACAGGTTAAGACCAACCTTGTTTCCCCTTCAGCCTTTGAACAAAGCCTCTGGTCCATTTCTTGGGCGCCATGTTGAGGGGAATGCCGGAAAGTTCGCTGTTAATATACAGGGCACATTGTAGCTGCAGGAAATCCCAGTCTTCCATTATCATCTGAGTTTTGGCTCCCGATATTCTATGCTGAAACGGACAGGAACCAGCCGAAAAAGCCAAAACAAAACAAAACAAAACAAAACAAAAGACAGATTAAAAAACGATTGGTTGCATATAATCAAAGTTTCACTCTAGTTAGCACATTATGTGCAGCAAGTAGAAGGACTGAATACTTAAACAGCCTTAAATAAAAGGCTTAAATACTCCATTTTTTACAAATCATATTTTAAAGAGAGAGGGGAGGGGTAAGAAGGGTATCGTAATAATATATGACCAATTTTCTTTATCCTTTTTTTAAAAGGCAACAACATGGAATTATTTCCTTTTTTATTTTTTAAATTGAAAGTGCGGGGGGGGGGGGAGAAAATGTAAATAAAAACCAAATAACCAAAGGGAAAAAAGCTTTATTTCGCTGTAGGCTGCAGGAAGCAAAACAAGAAGCCACCTTTTTGATCACATCGTTCAAGAAAATGATTTCCGTCAGCTTCATCGTTAGATCGTCCTCGTTGGTGCCGGACTTCAAGTCGCTGATCACGGAGGGCCGAATGCAGAGCGGGGGAACCAGAAGGCGGGTCAGGATCAAGTCGGAAGGCTTCCCTGATTCGGGGTTCATCAGGAGCAAAGGGATGTCTTCTGCAGGGATCCTCTTCAAGATGTTCAGCACCATCAGTGGGTTCAGGTTCTCCTGGAAGATTCAGAAACAAGAGGGTCACATTTTTGCCCAGTCACCCTACATGGGGGTCTATGACAACTCACCACGGCCAACGCGTCATGGCCAACTCACCGTAGCCAACTCAATACAGCCAACTTGCCGTGGTCAATCAGTACAGCCAATTCACTACAGCCAACTCACCATAGCCAACTCAATACAGCCAACTTGCCGTGGTCAACTCAGTACAGCCAACTCGCCACGGCCAACTCAATACAGCCAACTCGCCATAACCAACTTAGCACGGCCAACTCAATACAGCCAACTTGCCGTGGACAATTCACTACAGCCAACTCACCATGGGCAACTCAATACAGCCAACTTGCCGTGGTCAACTCAGTACAGCCAACTTGCCACGGCCAACGTGCCATGGCCAACTCACTACAGCCAACTCACTGTGGCCAACTCAATACAGCCAACTGGCCGTGGTCAACTTAGTATAGCCAACTCGCCACAGCTAACTCAGGGGGAAGCCAGGATTCACTTCACAACCGTGTTACTAACTTAACAACTGCAGTGATTCACTTAACAGCTTGTGGCAGGAGAGGTTGTAAAATGGGGCAAAGCTCACTTCACTACACCTTGCTTAGCAACGGAAAGTTTGGGCTCAGTTCTGGCCGTCAGTAAAGGACGACTTGTAGTCTGCTAACCCTACAAACAAACAAACAAACAAACAATGTTTGAAGTCATGATGAAACTGAAAAAAAAGTGACTTGTGATCATTTTTCACACTTACAACCGCTGCAGCATCACGTGATCAGAATTCAGATACTTGGCAACTGGCTCACATTTACAACGGTCACAGTGTCCCGGGATCGTGTGATCCCCTTTTGCAACCTTCTGACAATCAAAGTCAACGGGGGAAGCCAGAATCACTTCACAACCGTTACTAACTTACCAACTGCCATGATTCATTTAACAACGGTGGAAGAAAGGTCATAAAATGGGGCAAAACTCACTTAACAAATGTCTCACTTAACAAGAGATTTGGGGCTCAACTGTGGTCGTAACCCGAGAACTACTTACTTGTACTTTCCTAATCCTACAAAAAAACGACATTGAAGATCGTTTACTCTCCTGTGATGCTTCAAGACAAGTCAGCGCTCAAGGCACACAAACCTCCATGGGAATCTCACATGCCAACAGAAACCTGGACTACCGCAGAGAAGGGGAAACCGGGCTAACATATGGTTTGGGGTGTCTTGGGGCTCACCTGGGCTTTCCCCAGCAAAGCTTCAATCTCTTTGTTATGCTCTATTGCCGTGTCGAAAGACTGAATGAAATGAGACACAACGGGGTCCACAATCTTTTTGGTGGTCTTGTACTTCTCGTGGATTATCTTCAGCAAGCCACACTTCTTCACAGTACCTGGAAGGGAACAAGGGTTCAAGTCAAGGTTGACACTAATTCGCTCTTTCCTTGAACATTTGCTGCTCGGCACACACACACACACACACACACACACACACACACACAAATGGAAAGAGTTTCCCGCCGTTAAGGAGACCACCCAGAAATGTAGAAAGATGGTGCAACTGTTACTGTTTCCAGTATGTGAAGAATGAATGCGTTCAATTCAAGTTGTTGTTGGGTTTTTTGGTCAGGAATGCTAACGTTCAAGATGGCCAATTTGGTAACGTGGTTAAAGACATTGGCTAGAAGCTGGGTAAGCCAACCAGCTGACTTTGGGCCAGTTACTTCCTCTGCGCCTTAGGAAGGAGACAATGGAAAACCGCTTCGGAAAAATATTGCCAAGAAAACCGCAGGGATTTGTCAAGACTGACTCAAACGAACAACCTTGCAAATCCCCTTGACAATAAAAATGACACCTTGCTTGAAGACGCAGAAACATCTGAAGCCTAAAATATAATAATGTATAGACTTTGAAACAGTGTCACGTAAATGTCCCAAAGGTGTTTTTTCAGGAGGCAACTGGACTTTCTCGTTTTTTTTCTCATTTAAGAAGCTTCTTCAGCTCTGACTGGATGGTGTGGAATGGAAGGATTTGTACTCCTTGCAGCCAGCTGGTCATTTGCCTTCTTTTGGAGAGTCATTGAGGCCACTTGGGGGTTTGTCTGTGTCCTCAGGGTCACCTGAGTAGTGCAAAAGAGTGTGGAGCCTTTTTGGAGCTGCTGAAAGGACACAGGATTCACAGCTGAACCTGACAACTTTCCCCAGCAAAGGGTTAAAGAGTCGTGGTAGCACAGTGGTTAGAATGCAGTACTACAGGCTAATTCTGTCAACTGCCCACAGTTCGATCCTGACTGGCTCAAGGTTGACTCAGCCTCCCGTCCTTCCGAGGTCGGTAAAATGAGGACCCAGATTGTTGGGGGCAACAGTCTTTGTAAAACCGCTTAGAGAGGGTTGTAAAGCACTGTGAAGCAGTATATAAGTCTAAGTGCTATTGCTAAGTGGGAGGGAAGGAAGGAAGGAAGGAAGGAAGGAAGGAAGGAAGGAAGGAAGGAAGGAAGGAAGGAAGGAAGGAAGGAAGGAAGGAAGGAGCTGTGGTGGCGCAGTGGTTAGAATGCAGTATTGCAGACTAATTCACTGCCCACAGCCAGGAGTTCGATCCTGACCAGCTCAAGGTTGACTCAGCCTTTCATCCTTCCAAGGTCGCGAAAAGGAGGACCCAGATTGTTGGGGGCAACAGGCTGACTTTGCAAAACCGCTTAGAGAGGGCTGTAAAGCACTGTGAAGCGGTATATAAGTAGAAGTGCTATTGCCACCTGCTGAACTCCACGTGTCAATTCCAACCGACAGAAGGGGTTGAGAACCAAACCTACCGTTGAAAGCACCACAATGTGGGCAGGTATTCTTCTTCCTGCATTTTTCGGAGATCTTTTTCTTCAAACCCCTTTTCTGGAGATAGGTCAAACCGGGCCTCTTCAGATAATCCAAAAACTGTTTCTGTTCTTCGGTGGTCAGCAAGATATGGCAACAAGTTTTGCAAATCATCTAAGGAGGAGGAGAAAAATCTTTAAAGTCAGCTTTCCCACAGCAAAAGAAACAACGAACCTCTTGGCTTTAATAACTACATATACAGAGATGCTTGCATTCCTGCATGTTATGACGCACCTTTTCCAAAACTGAATGCAAAGTACTGTGCAGCTTGATAGCAGTTCGAGCGAAAGATGCTTCCGCGACAGCTTTTGACTTGACCTTACCTGGAGAATCCCTATCACAGCTTTGAAGTATCCCACGTGAAAACAAGGTAACTCCAGGTCGATGTAGCCATAATGCCCCAAACATTCTGCCAGATTTTTTCCACAGGTCTTACAGGGACGGTCTTTTTCACTTGTACCCTTGCGTAAAAGAATAAAAAAGAATGGATGGAGATGAACTTTGGTCAAGGTACTATTAGGTGAATCAGACGTTTTCTTAAAATTAAACACAGAATGTCAGAAACAGAAATAAGGCACATGATCGCTCTACAGCCTTTACAATCTTTCCAGGAGCTGAAGTGGAGATATCTAGAAAGAAAAAAAAAATAGCAGGTCTGGAATACCTCAAAGTCACTTACAGCACAAAGAATTTATTTCCAACCAATGCTTACAACTATTCTCCTGAAAAGCTGGGTCTGGAGGAAAATGGAATGTTTCATTTCGCTCCAGAATAGCCCGTTCCCAGATTCACAACTCTTGCACAAATCCAAACCCAAGGAGGTCTTGAGGATAGTGATAATCCCAGAAGGCCATGCCATCGTTATAAAAATAGACGACGATGTGAGCTTGCACAGGAACAAATGACAAAGAAAAAAAGCTGAACATTATATAATTCGCTAAATGGAGCATCAAACACTGATTGGCTCAGCATGGTCAGGAAATACAAATCGTAGCCTCTGTTTTAGAGCTGTCCCCCCCCCCCGTGAGCTTTAATGATTTCTCGGTTCCAATCAGCTGAACCCTTCCTAGGTTTTAGTTTACCCCGTCCTGGCTTATTCTGAAGCTCTTCAGGTATTTACTCCCTCAGTGTCGCTTCTGACATGCCCAAATGAGACTGAGCACCTAGAAGGCTTACCAGGCGATGGTCCAAGACGCCATATTGAAGAGGCGAGTGGTTATCTTGGTTGTACAGATTTTTACTGACCACCTGGATGTGAGCCTGTTGCCGCATCTCTTCAGGAGACTTCATCCCAAAGCAGATGTGACTTCTGGAACAAAAAGACAACGCAGAATGTCATGAGGTAGAGATACAGAATAACAGAATGACAAGAGTTGGAAGGGACCTTGGAGGTCTTCTAGTCCAACTCCCTATACCATTTCAGACAAATGGCTGTCCAGTCTCTTCTTAAAAACTCCCAGGGTTGGAGCATTCACAGCTTCTGGAGGCAGGTGGTTCCATTGGTTAATTGTTCTGACTGTCAGGAAGTTTCTTCTTAGTTCTAGGTTGCTTCTCTCCTTGGTTAGTTTCCATCCGTTGTTTCTTGTCCTGCCTTCAGGTGCTTTGGAGAATAGCTTGACTCCCTCTTCTTTGGGGCAGCCCCTGAGATACTGGAACACTGCTATCATGTTCCCCCTCGTCCTTCTCTTCGTTAAACTAGACATCCCCCATTCCAGCAACCGTTCCTTGTATGTTTTAGCCTCCTCTAATCCTCTTCGTTGCTCTTCTCTGCACTCTTTCTAGAGTCTCAACATCTTTTTTTTTTTATACCATGGCGACCAAAACTAGTCCTTGGTGATTATTTTCAAATCTCAGCCAGTGCAGAATATGGTGCTTCCTCCTTAATCAGGGTGCAAACTTCCCAAGTTATACCTGGTAGCCTTCTAAGCATAATTTTACAAAGCAACTAAGTGCAACTAAAGTAAGATATTTTAATTCTTCCATGTATTAATCTGCAATATCAACCAAAACCTTTTCTGTTAAACATATCCTGGAATTTTTGAGGGGGGCTGTTTTCCAGTAAATAACACTAAAAAAAGCTCAAAAATGGAATTGGATGGATGGATAGATAGACAGATAGATAGACAGACAGACAGAGAGACAGACAGACAGATGATAGACAAGAGATAGATATAATGGATGGATGGATGGATGGATAAAAACCCACGCATGCGCACAACCCCCCACCCTCCCGGCCCGACTCCGGGGCGCCTCACATTTTCTTGGCCACGTCCGTCTCGCGGAACTGCTCCTTCCCCATGGCTCCGGCCAGCCCGGCGGCGACGAAGGCGGCGGGGAGAACTCCCGGCCCGCAGCCACCCACGCCGTACTGACGTCACCGCTGGAGCGACGTCGGGCGCTGCCCCGATGACATCACGGGCAAAACGGCAGGCAGCCCCGGGAGAACCCGGAAGTTGAGGAAGGCGCCGGCAAGAGTGGGCGGGGCGAAGTATAAACCCAATGGAGTCTCTCTCTTCACTGACTCGTGGAGTGACAGATGAGTGAGAGAGAGAGAGAGTCTCTTGATAGAAACAGGAATGGATGGTAGATAGATAGATAGATAGATAGATAGATAGATAGATAGATAGATAGATAGATAGATAGATAGATAGATAGATAGATAGATAGATAGATAGATAGATAGATAGATGTAGGTAGGTAGATATAGAGATAGATAGATGTAGGTAGGTAGGTAGGTAGGTAGATAGATAGACAGATAAGATAATGGATAGATGAATACATTGATAGATATAGATGATAGATTGATAAAGATAGATGGATAAAGAGACGAAAGACAAATAGATATAGATAATATGGATAGATGAATAGATTGATGTAGATAGATTAATAGATAAAGATACATGGCCAGATGACTAGATATAGAGAATAGATGGATAGATTGATATAGATTAATAAAGAGGTGGATAGATGAATATAAATAATATATGGATAGATGGATTGATATAGATAGATCGATATATATTGATAGATTATAGATATTGATGATTGATAAAATAGATGAATAGATGAATATAAATAATGGCTAGATGAGTAGATTATATAGATGATTGATATAGATGATAGGTTGATAGATATAGATAGATGAATGGATGACAGGAGTCTCTTAACTGATTGATTGATTGATAGAGATAAAAAGTCTCTTGATAGGATGGATAGATAGATGATAATTAAAGGTAATAGGTATAAAGAAATTTGATAGATAAAGGAGTCTCTTAGAAAGTTCCTTGATGGAGGAGAATAGATAGGTGACATTTAAAAGTAATAGAAAGAAATTTGATAAATAAGTCTCTTGGCTGATTGATAGATAGAAATATATAGAAATAGAAAAAAAATGATGGATAGGTGGGTGGGTAGTTAACAGATATATTGAATCTGATATATACTAGAAGGATACATGGGGAATCTCTTGCTAGACTATCTATAACTTCATGCAATATAACCGCACAACAATACAATGTTTTGGAAAATAAGTTGACCCCCTCTTTTTTGTGGCAGCCTCTCAAATATCTCATAAGATCTGCAGAAATAACTATTTCCGTCTTTCTCATACAATATACGAATAAGAGCTTCGTGATCCACGCGCAATAGCATTCAACCGGATAGGAGGACTAACAAGTGCCTCTCTTTCCCCCACTCTCTGATTTCCCGGAAGGCTTTTTCCGCTGCCAGCGGAAATCCCACCTTTTTCGCTAGGGCGCTTCCTTTTCCTTTCCTCTCCGGCATATGATTGGCTACCGAAGGTGCCTTCTTTCCTTTTCTCTCTCTCTGGGCTGCGAGGGAGGTCGCCAAGATGGTGAGTGCTGGCGCTGGAGCTTCTCGGCACCGGGAGGCGCCTTCAATCCGTCCTGGCCTGGCGCCATCCTTGGTTCTCCGGCCCGAGGACCGCCTGCCTTCCCTTCCGCGGGGGCTGCGGAGTGTTTTAGGGGGGTTATGGGCTGGAGGAAAGGGGGCGAAGTTGCCGGCGCCGGGGCTTCCCCGTGGGCCCCCGCTTCTCTGCCGCGGGCCAAGCTCTCCCTCTCACTCCCCCCCCCATTTATTCATCTGAGCTACTGCCCAGTATGAGGGGCGCCAGGTTGGGGAACGGGGGGGTCTGTGCTGCAAAATAGGCCCCCCACCGTTTTTTTCAACTCTGCACACTTCCAAAGGCTGACACCTGTGCACGCTCAACTTTTTTTTAATAAATTATAATTTATTATACACATAGGTGTGTATGTATGCATACGTATGTATAGGTGTGTATAAGTATAAATATGTATAATTAAATATTAAAAGAATTCACAACTTTTTTTAATAAATTATAATTTATATATGTGTGTCTATATGTATATATGTGTGTATACATATATATATAATTTAAAAAATAATTCTCAGTTCAACTTAAATAATTATATATATGTGTGTATGTATTATATATGTGTGTGTATAAATATAAATCTCAACTTTATTAAATTATAATTTATATATAATTATATATATGTGTGTGTATAAATATAAAAAATAATTTTCAACCTTTTTAAATAAATTATAATTTATATATATGTGTGTGTGTGTGTGTGTATTAAAAGAATACCTAGTTCTTTTAAAGAGGGATCCTTTGGATTAGTTACGAGACAAATGAAATGCTTTACTTGAATTTTTATTTTGTGTTACTTTTCATGCTAGAATGACACAGTCACCATCCGAACGAGGAAGTTCATGACAAACCGGCTGCTTCAGCGTAAGCAAATGGTAAGACGCGTGTTTTGTGGCCTCTAAGGTGGGCTTTCCAGGGGAAAACTTGGCTTTGCAATAATTATTTTATTTGCATGGTCATCTAATCAATAGCCTAATCACGCTGTCACCAGTAGCAGTTAAAACACCAACGACAAAATATAGCTAATAATATAGTCTAGCTTTTGGAATGCTATTATGTTGATCGAAACGGTTACATTAAAGGCTGGCTAGTAGTAAAGTAAAGTTGGAAGGGATCTTGGAGGTCATCTAGTCCAACCCCCTGCTCAGGCAGGAAACCCTATACCATTTCGGACAAATGGCTGTCCAGTCTCTTCTAATGAGGATGAGGTTTACAGCGGTTTGGATATAATAAGTTCTAATGATTAATATTACATATAAATATTCTAATATTAATGAGAATTAATATGGTTTAATAATGGGACAATTGGGAGACCTTTCCATATGCTGCGTTTAAGCAAACGTTGCTGTATAAAGGCAGCAAAGAGGAAGGCTTGTCATTTGCAAATTTGTTTTCTTCTCATTACTCCTAAACTTGTGACTTTCTAAATGTCTGGAGACTACAAACTCTTTACATCTATTTTAGCTGAAAGACTTAAAGTTTTATAGACAACTAAAAGACAATGTAAGAGTCATTTTCAATATGATTGAATGTTTACAACAATGTAGCGACAAACTAGTTGCCTTGATCTTTTTGGAGGCAGAAAAAGCTCTTGACACTTTGAACCGATCTGTCATAAATTCTTGACCTTCTGAATCTTGCCTTCAGACATTGTGGGCGCTCCATCACTGGAGGTTTTTAAAAAGAAGCTAGACAATCACCTGTCTGAGATGGTATAGGTTCTCCTGCTTAAGCAGGGGGTTGGACTAGAAGATCTCCAAGGTCCCTTCCAGCTCTATTCTATTCTAAATGTCCAGAGAACTTTAATGCTAGAATTCAAATTTTGACAAGGTTACTTGGCAAACAGATTCAGTAATCTATCGACTGTACAGCATTTCCCAGACATAACAAAGGAGAGTTTTTCAGTCATTAAATATTGCATTATTTTTCTGTACAGGTAGTCCTGTAGTGTGCCCCAAATGTCTGTTGTTCAGTGAGACACTTGTTAAGTGACTTTTGCTCCATTTTACGGCCTTTCTCGCCTCTGTTGTTAAGTGAATCACTGCAGGTGATAAGTTAGTGACCCGGTTGTTAAGTGACACCAGCTCCGCCACTGACTTTGCTTGTCAGAAGTTTTCAAAACGGGACACTACGACCGTCATAAATATGAGCCAGTTGCCAAGCATCTGAATTTTTACTTTATTTTATTTTTAACCAACAAAACAAAGCAAAACATAACACACATACACACATAGTATATACTCCTCCTCCCCTTTTTTTAACAGCGATTACATAACGGTAATCTTCTATTATTTACATTTCCCCCCTTATTCTTCTTTAGAATATTTGTCCTTATTGCCCCGTTGTTTCTTATTTACATTTTTCTTCCTTCATATTCTACTTAACTAAGAATAATTCATGTTGTTATTATTATACATTATTATACACATATTTTCACTTTTGACCTTTCCATATTTATTCTCTATTATTTCTAGTCTCCCACCAGTCATACCACTTGTTCCATGTTATATAGTGCTCTGTGTCTTCCTTTTCTTTTATCTCTTTTGTTCATTTGTCCATCTCAGCACAGTCCAGGATTTTTCTTAATCGCTTCTTCCTCTGATGGTATATTCTCATTTTTCCAGCACTGTGCATATACTATTCTTGCCGCCATTATTATATGTAAAATTAAAATGTTCCAGAACAATTCACCAAGCATCTGAATTTTGATGGGTGCGGCAGTGGTCATAACTGTGAAAAACGGTCCTAGGTCATTTTTCTTTTTAAGGCCGTTGTAACTTTGTAACGGTCACTAAATGAAGTGCTGTAAATTGAGGACTGCCTGTATTGAGAGCTTTGCAAAGGGTGTAACCAGGGTGTATGTTTTGCATAGACAGGTCTACAAATTAGCGCTGACAACAATAAAAATGCATTAAATTACTTCCAGGTGAGGTTTTTAGCATACAGTGGACCCGTTTCATTTTTGAATTTTTGTGTCTGTCTGCACAAGCGGCCTCTGCTGTTACTGTCTGTCTTCACCACCCCTCCCTCTACAACCCCCCCCCCCAAATCTCTCATTTTTAATCTGAAACTACTCTGATGTATAGGTTGACCTATAACAGTGGTTCTCAACCTTTTTAATGCCGCGACCCCCAACCGGTCGTAAGTCGAGGACTACTCAACTGATGCAGCACCGTTTGCAGAATGGGACTTTTGGCGGGCTCAGCAGGGCAGAGACAGCCTGGACAATCCCTATTGGCTTTTGAAAGCCAATAGAATGAGACTCTATTCAAGAGAGTGTCTTCTATTGGCTTTCAAAAGGCAATAGAATAAAAGGGAGTAGCACAGCTAAGGAAAAGGGGGGGAAAAATGGTGGACTGCGTTGTTGGGCGACCCCCGTGAAATGGTCGTTCGACCCCAAATGGGGTCCCAACCCACAGGTTGAGAACCACTGGCCTATAAGCTTAAAATGGAAGCATAGCATATTTCTGGCCGAGGTTTCACGTTCGAGGCTGAATTTCTAACGTGCTTAT